AATCGTCAAATGTTTTCTTATACTTTTCTCATCAGTATTTCTCAGAACTTCTATCTATGTTTTTCCCAGAGCGGTCGATCTCTCCAACAAAAATCAGCGTGACAGTGTCAAATAAAAAAGTAAAAAATATATGTTTTTAAAAATTGTTTTTTCTTTACTTTACATAACCGCCTGCTGCCAAAAGTCTTTGACGCCAACCCATACCAGCTAATGAAGGTTGACTTGGTTTAGTTTGGAAACTAAACTTTGGTTTTGGTTTATCTTCAGTTTTTGGTTTCTCTTCTTCTATCTGTTTTTCGTCACTTTTCGGTTCCTCTGACTTTACCTCACTTTTACGCTTGGAGAGGACATGAACTTCGGAAAATACCTTATCTAGCTTAAAACAGCCATCTTCTCACCGACCATTCCCATTTCAATGAGTTTGTTATAGCCTTCTTCGTTCGTCATGAGTGCGTCGATGTTCTCATAGTATACCTTGACTTTGGATTTAACATCGGAGAAAAATTTGTTGTACTCGTCAAGGACTGCTTTTGCGAACTGAGGGTAAGACCAATGTTCGACAATAGGTTTTAATGTGGTTACTAAGCCACTTTGACCTTGAGTGAATTCGTACTTCAAAACAAAAGGAGAAAACCTTTCAACAAAGTTGTCGACCTTCTCATAATGTTTACTCTTCATCTCTTGAGGTTTCTTTATGGAATATCCCCATGTCGAATTCATAAGCAATTTGAGTGTCATTGCAAGTTTGGGGTTTGAAGCTTTCCTAATATCATACAGTTGTTGTATGACTTTTCCAACTGTATAGTTCCTTCCTGGGAACTCACCATCTTCGTTTGGAATTCCAGTTGGAATATATTGGACGAACCTCATGTACGCAGCGTTAAGGTCAACATAGTATATTTTTTCATATGAGTCGAACTTGTCGCATCCAATCGGTCCAGTTTTTGGAAATTCAAGCGAGTCTCTTATCTTCTGAGAAACTTCTCCTGTTATCTCATAAACATCGTCGAAGCAACCTGTTTCATATAAAACCTTCTGACCTAACTCTGATGCTCTCCAATACAATTTGACGTCGATTGGATGTCTCAATGGGAGTTTGTTTATAGCATCTTGAAGTTCTTGCAACCTCATTGGAAGTTCTTCTGGTTCAGGTTGGTATCCGAACAATCCAACTCCTTTTGGAGCTGTGTACTTCTTTTGTGCTAGAACTTTGTCTTGAACAACTTTTGGTCTTACCAACAATGAAAAGTTTGTTTCGTCTTTTGGTACAAAAGTTTCTGTCAGCTTGTCATCTGGAATTGGTTCCAACAAACCTTTCTCGAAAAGAATGTTTACAGCTCTGACAATGTTGCACTTGCCTTTTCCGAACAATGGGTTTGTAAGACTTTCGTTCAACATGAAGTGGTTGTGGACAATTACAATCTTCAACCATGGTAAGTCTTTGTCAACAACATAGTCGTCATGTGAAGAACCTTTCTCAGTCGGAATGTTGACTCGGATATTCACATTTGCCAACGGTGCAATTTTTGACAATTGACCTCTGAGCATGTACCTTGTTTTCACACATGACTCAAGATACTTCATTTTCTCATCTGTAACAAGACCAGAGTTCCTGAGACATGTAAGAATACAAGGTTCATTGACAATTGTTTCAATTGAATTGTAAATTCCATACCTTGTCAAGTCAATGTCAGACTTATTTATGAACGGGAAGTATCCAGCATGTTGTCTGACTGCTTGAGGGTTCGGTTGGTACCATTCAAATTTTACACTTGCAATTCCTTCAATTGCATTCAAAATGTCTGAGTCGGAGTCAACCATTTGTTCTCTCTTTGTAGTCTTGAAAGCGTCAAGAAGCATTGCAGCTGTTGTGACATTGCCATGTGCATAGTAAATGTGACCATCCAAATCTGTTATGGTCAATCTGAGATTGTATCCTTTCTTATTTCCATCTTGTATGGCAGCAAGTACACCCATGAAGCCTTCTTTGTTCTTTCCTTCGTCAAAGTTTACTGTAAAGGTTCGACCAGATGTAATTTGACTTCTAACTTCACGGTACTTTTCATATGCATATCTTGTTCTTTCCATGGGAGCATGTTTGTCTTCACCTTTTCCTTTTTTCCTTCTCAAAGGATGCAATTGTTCGTCATGTTTCCAGTAGAATCTGGCAAAGCCGTCGTGTCCTTCAACTTGAGGCTCACTAACATCGAAAGGCATGTCCATAAGACGTTCTTCTTCTAACCTCTCTAATCTGTTTGGATAATTTGCGCGTGCTGTTTCTAAGTCCATTTCATAGCGAAGACCAGACAATTTGTCATAGACTTTTATGGGTCTTCCCTTCCTATATTTAAACTTCTTTGAAACTCTCCAACCATATCTTTCTAACTCTGCTTTTATTCTAGCAGACCTTCTATCCATTCTATACGGGGGCATTTTTATAAAAATAAAAAAATGTTTTTTCTTTACTTTACATAACCGCCTGCTGCCAAAAGTCTTTGACGCCAACCCATACCAGCTAATGAAGGTTGACTTGGTTTAGTTTGGAAACTAAACTTTGGTTTTGGTTTATCTTCAGTTTTTGGTTTCTCTTCTTCTATCGGTTTTTCGTCACTTTTCGGTTCCTCTGACTTTACCTCACCTGCAGGAACAGTTGTGTCGTCAACATCTTCATAAATATCATATGCCATTTGTTTTTGTTTTCCTTTCAACTTTTTGTGTTTGTTGTAAAGTTTAGAATATTTCGACTCTAAGTCAATGAGATGTTCTATAATGAACTGTTGGTCAGTGAAGTAAACTTTTCCATCTGTTGTCTCGAAAGCTCCTTCAGACTTCAATATTTTATTTGTGAGAGTCTGTTTCTTTTTTGAGATACTAGCCGTTCCATTTCTATGAAAAGTGACTTTGTAGTTAGGGTTTGTATTTCCAGACCTGGCACTTTCTATTATTGAATTTTTCTCTTCATCTGTAAGTTCTTTGACAGGTTTTGACAATGGTTCTGAACTTTTTGTTTGTGGTGTCAAATCTACCGTTTCAACTTCTTCGGTCATTTCATCTCAGTAAAAAATTTTAGTTTGGTTTGTTTTCAACTGGTTGTTTAGGTTTTTTAAGTCGGTCTAAAACTTCCTGAGGTATAGGAAGAACTTGACAAACACGTGGTTGTGTAACTGCTGGAAGCCGACAAATCCATCTTGAGCCCATTTGTCTCAATGCTGTATTGTTCATTTCATCTCAGTAAAAAATTTTACATTCCCCACGTTTGAGGCGGTTGAGGTTGGTTGTTGTTTACCCACTGTTGTGCATGGTTATATCCTCTGTTAAAGAATCTTTCACCTTGGTCCATGTAGTGTCCTGCTTGGTTATAGTAGTCATTTGCTTTGTTATAGTAGTTTCCTGCTTGTCTTCCTACATTGTCCATCCATCCTTGAACTTTTCCTCTTGTTTCAGGATTTGGAATAAGATTTGCTGCATCTCGTGCTACCTCCCAACCTTTCTGTACGGTTTGTATAATAGGTTGTGCTTTCTCTTTCAGTATACCTAATGTACTCAAAATCTTCCTTCCAATTCCAAATGCACCTCTGGCTAGTGTTCCCACTGCGGGTAAAAATCTAGATGCGACTCCTGCTAATGCGCCAAATAAACCCATTTCTTATAGGATAAAAATGACGAATCCAAACAAGGACCCCTATGTTTCTAAAGCGACAAAAAAAGCACTCATGGTAAAAATCTTTAGTTCAACACCAAATGCTTGGTTTATGGATATCTTGGAAAACATTCCGAGTATAGAGAAGATGGACCACCATACTGGCTAATATTTGTTGGTCAAAACACAAGATACTGTGAAGCCATACCATTATGGTCCAAAAATATTTTAGATGTGAAAACTGCTTTGACAATATTCGTTGACAAATACCATCCAACAAAACTGACATCTGACTGTGAAAGTTCTTTCAAATCAGACGATATTAAAAACTATCTGCGTTCAAAAAATGTAAACCAATATTTCATTGTCGACCAAAACCATTCTGCTCTTGGTGTCATTGACAGTTGTATAAAAATCTTAAGAGACTTAAACCAACCACAAGGTGGTGAGGTAGATGAAATGTCATATGACGACAAGTATAGACATTTCTCCATGGCAAAGATGAGACAAGTTTTAAATATTTACAATAGCCGTAAACAAAAAGGTTTGGGAAACCACTCCCCCGAAGAAATGAAAAAACAACCCCGACTTAGAGAAAGACTATATATTTAATAGTTTAGTCAAAAGAGACAAACAAGAAAGAATGCCAGGCTTCAAACTTAAGAAAGGTGACAAAGTAAAAATAGAAATACCTAAACGCGACCCATATGAAAATACTATTGACTATGACAACAATGGGAACTCGACAGGTACTCACATTCGTGTTCGTAAAAATAGAAGAAAGTATACAAGAGAATATTATGAAGTTTTAGGCAAACATGGCAAAATGTACACACTGCAAGCAGAAGATAAAACTACTATTGTCAGACCTCGTTTCAAACTTGTCAAAGTTCAAGGTGGTATACTTTCAAAGACAGTTCCTAACAAATATAAGACAACTCCTGACGAATATGCTAAAAAGTTGAAAATGACGACTAAGCATTTCTATACCATGCGTAAACTGTCATGTAAGGTGGCATGTAGTCTTTACTTTGTCCCGTTGTTTGCGTATATCCTGTAACGCGATGTGTATGGTTTCCTTCTCCCTGAGTGTCACTCCAGTAACAATTTATAGCAAACTTAACCTCGTCTTTAACATCATATCCTTTACCTTTTGTCATTCCTGACCAATCCCAATATCTATGCTTATGCCAACCTGCTTGAGATGTACTTAAATCTATGTAGTGACTGTGTGCAGGTAAATTTTCACCTGAAATCGTTTTACTTCCACCTGTTTCCTTTGAAGAGTTTGCACAATACAAAAACCTGTCGACTATTTGAGTCCAAGTTCCAAAACCAAGTACTACTTCTGGTCTGGTAGAGTTCATTGACGTATAAATAGAGCCTATAGGATATAATGTTTGAAGTATTTCTGTCTTTAATGTTTGAAGCTCTGTTTTGTCTGCTTTTTTATATAACTTTTCTTCAAGTTCATTTACGTCAGAGATGCTATGTCTATGATATTTTTGTGGGTATGTTCCTTCTGTCCATGTGAAAATATACTCTTTTGTTGCATCTACATATCCTTTTATCCATGTCGAGTCTGCTTTTGTATTCCTTAACTCTGTAACACCTTTCTCAAGCTCTTTCAACTGTTGTCCATCTTCCATTAAACCTCTGGTATGACTTGAAACCGTTTGTGCCAACATATCTACAGTTTCTTTGTCGGCTTTAAGGTCTAAACACCCTGAAACCCATCCTGTATCAGCTTTCGTTTTTAAAATCTTCGATGTCCGTTCATTATACCATTCAACCCTTTCTTTAATTTCATTGTCTTTTTCATCCACATATTCCTTATCTGCCTTCTTCACTAACGCACTAGCCACACATTCTAACTCATCGTTAACATATGTTTTATCTGCTTTCTTTTCAACATCCTCTTTTGTTGCATATGTTGCATCTGCTCTGTCATGTTCTTCTTGAACTTTTTCAATGACATATTCTTTGTCAGCTTTGTTGTCAACATCTGCTTTCAAAAGAAGTTCATCTATAGGCTTCTCGTTTAAAGTTCCTTTTGTTGGATTTATACAGACAGTATGGTTCCTATTGTCTTGAAATAGAAACTCATCTGTCATTGGGTTTATTGTCAGTTTTAAGTTTCCTTCTTTCAATGACTCAGATATCTTAGAATAGTTTGAAAAGTTTGTTGTGTTCTTATTTAGAGCTTGCATAATGAGTTGTCGGTTGTGTTGTATTTCTCTCATAGACGCTGTTTCATTTGACATTTTTATTCTAGATAAAATATGCTTCCAATAGAAAAAGAAAATTCAAGAGTTGCTACAACTAAACCATTAGATGAACTTTTTACTAATGTCGGTCAAAAGTTTGAGACAGAGACCGTAAAGCATGAAGGCTATCGTTTTGACTACCCATTAAGATGGCTAAGAGACCCATCTGTCACAAAAGCTATTGGCTTTCGTAGAATGAAGTTTGTGTCTGTAGAAGATAAAAGTTTTCCATTTATTGTAAGGTTTCATATAGATTATATATCTGAAGGGAAACGAAAAATGTGGGAAGAAATTGAGCTAATACAAGTTGACCTTTCATCTTCTCTACAGACTGCGTTAAAAAATATAGAAGATAAAATAAATTCATGTTATGCAAAATATGCTGATGAATATGCAAATACCGAGAGCACACTTTATGTGAGAATTGTATATGACAAACAAAATTCACAAGTGTCATTTCAAATCTACGAAGACAATCCAAAGAAAGACGAACAAATATATACAGAATTCACTGCAATGTCATGGTATTATTTGCAAAGAATGTTAAATCAGAAAGTCGAACTTCCTTTAGCAAATATTTACAGTCGATATGCAAGAGATGAACCATATTTATTTAAAGATGTTTTCGACTCAGATGCTATTATCGTTCATGCTTCATTTTCTGGTGCACAAAACTCTTTTTTATGCTTGGCAAATGACTTTTACGAAAAACCTACAAAGCTATATGAACCACCAAGTGGAAGTATTTCAGACTTTCAAGTATGGTTTACTACAGATGGAAGAAAGAAATAATTCCATTATACCACGCGTTTTACTTAGAACTTAGTTTCATATACAACTACTATCGAACGGTAAAAATATAATTTTAATACGGTTGAGGTGTTGGATTTGGTTGCCAACTTGACTGTGGTGCAGGTTCAGGCTGTTGTATAACAGGAGCTTGTTCTTCTGGTTCAGGGTCTTTAGTATAATACCAACAAACTGACCTACTCTTTTACCAATATTTTTGACACCGTTCCAAATTCCTCTTCCTACGGTTTTTATTCCATTCCATATACCTCTTCCAACATTTCGAAAGAAGTTTCCTATCTTACTGAAGAAACCCATTTTACTATATGTAAAAATCTAATGTCCGCCTAGTCTCTTACGTTTCCTGTTGAGTTCCATAGCATTCTTTAACTGGAGCTCATACATTCTGTTTCTCCTCTGGTAGAAAACATATTCTGGGTCAACTCCTGTGTTCGCGTCATCTGCATAAAGTTGTTTATATCCCACTTCAGGGTTTGTATAAAACTCTTTCCATCTCATATTTGCATACCATGGTGGCAAACCTAACGCAGCGTCATTTGACATGGCAGTTTGCATTTGTACATCTGTTGGCACTTGACCATAGTTTGCCATTGCAGTTTGTATTCTAACTTCATTTGGAATATTCTCTGGGTTTGGTTGTCCAGGTTGCTGTGCATTCGCTAAGTTCTGTGCGTCCATTTAATATTAGATAAAAATATCTCTTACGAGTACATATACTGAACATTTGCAGGCATTGGTTCATCTTCATATTCTCTGTACCTTTCTGCCACGTCAAAGAAATAAATGACACAATGGAAAAAACCTAAAACAAGTAGTCCTATTTCAAACCACATTTACTTACTAATAAAATTTCTTTATTGTGACACTTTCTCCAGTTTATAGGACCTCTCTCATATTCTATCTTATCGTATCTAAACTCATAGTCATGTATGTCCTCTAACCATCTCATGACACTTTCCAAACCACTTTTATCGGATGTAAAGTAAAAGCATGGATGGTTATGTAAAACGTCTAAAGTTTCTAAAGAGTCTCTCAAAGTCCAGTCTACTTGGTATTGAAAATCCCATGTGTTATAGAACGGCGGGTCCACTATAAAGAAAACATTTTCCTTGTCTTTATATTTTTCATACAAATCTGTCCAATGACATCTCACAAACTCTATACCCTCAATATATTTTTCTATGTCCTCTTTGAAAACATTTGTATAGTTAAGATATAAAACTTTTGACATAAGTGTTTCAATGTCATGAACTCTTATAGCACCACTATATAATAGTCTAGCAGATATACTATCCCAGTCTATATATTCTGCTTTTTTCAAAACCTCTCTCACAATATTTTTCTTATCTAATGGTATACGTTCCATCTTACCTATCTGAATCTTTTCTTTTAACTCTTTCAATATATTGTTTGTGTCTGGAATATGTTTGAGACGGTCCATATAGTTGTCGAAGTCATTGCATATAATCTTTGAGTCTGGAAATATTATATGGCACAAATGGGATATATAGAAACTTCCACCGAACAAATCTACAAATGTTAGACCATTCGGTAGTTTCTTAAGTTCTCTCAATATAATATCTTTACATCTACTCTTATTTCCAAAGAAGGGTAACGGTGGTTTTGTAAAATTCATTTTATATATATAATAAAAATGTTTTTACCTGAAAAGTGACAGAAAAGTGACAAAACATGTACGAAGAAGTCTTGAAAATTCAAGAGGGTAGAAAAGAGGTTAGAAAAGAGGTTATATCTAACCTTCTACCCTAAACATTATTTTTGTCTGATTTTACGAAGAAGTCTTGACAAAACATGAAAACATATATAATTTGTGAAAAGCTCCTGGAAGACCCGTATATAAGAACTTCATTTATACTAAACATCTTCGGGGCTAGAGGGCACGAAGTGCCTGGAAGCCCCACTCCCTTTTTTTTTTTTTTTTTTTTTTTTTTTTTTTTTTTAACTCAAAGCTGAAATCGATGTGATTATAACCGAAAACGATAATGGCGTTATAAAACAATATCGATGTATGAAAATCTCGTTTGACGATAGAAAAATCCAAACTCGTCACTTTTTAACAAAAACAGTTTAGCAGAATGTCTAGAAGACGCAATATTATTCCACAAGAGGCAAAAGATGAGATTGCAGAAGTCTTTGAACTCTTTGATGCTGACAAGAGTGGCTGCGTTGATCGTCAAGAACTGTTTGTCGGATTAAGAGCAATGGGCTTTAATGTTACAAAGGAAGATATTGAGCAAATATTCAGAGAAAAGGATGTAGAGAATCTCGGCTATCTTGTATTCAAACAATTTAGAGAAGTAATCGCAGAAAAATTATCTCAGCGTAAACCAGAAGAAGAATTCAAACAAGTATTTGTACTTTTCGACAAAGAGCATACAGGAAGAATCGGAATTCGTGAAATTAAACGTGTTTGCCAAGAACTTGGAAAAACAGACCTTTCAGAGGACGACATGAGAGCAATGATATCACAATTTGATACAGATGGTGATGGATACGTCACACAATCAGAATTCATTGCTATGATGAATGGTGACTTTTAATTTTATATAAAATCTTGTAATAATCATATATATGAACTAATAAAAAAGATCTGTTAGAATTTATAACGACTATTTTGAATCACAATGAGTTTTCCTGATATCCAAATTAAATTAGTTTCTTTTCGAGTAGTTTTTAAGCTCAAAATGCTACTAAAGCATAGATATAGAAATTTTTCTTGCAGATGAGTAATGTTTTTCAAAATCATTTTTATCGAATCATCGAACCATACAAATAACATAACATATAGCTTGATATGAAAAACATACAGAAGATATTCAATACAATATAGTAAATTTATATAAACAAACAATTGACAAAAAAATTATTCACCATTTTTGAAAATTTGAACTGAAGTAATTTCTTCTGATTTTGGAATTTCGATTCTTGAGATCTGTTCAACAGCAATCAAGAAAAAGTTCGTTGCATCTTTGAAAACACGAGATGATTGCAATTCACTCCATTTGTTAATAAATTTAACAATAGAAATGCAATTGGAAGGAGGACTCATTGACATCAATGCTAAAAATAGAGTCAAAGTATCATCAAATGCCAAAACTCCGACTTCTGAGCCAAAATATTGGGCAAGAGAGTCAATGATAAAGAATATTTGGGCCATCATGTCTATCGGATTGGTAATGTAGTCCATTTCCTTTAACATCGAAACTTGTTTAAATTTGAACAAACTACTGATTCTTAAGCCAGGGACGTAGTATTTTTCGATATCTTTAGATAACTTTAGGGAACTTGCTGGCTGTTGAGAGTATAAATCGCATTTTATTAAAAATGCTGAATTTTCTTCTCGGTATTCATTAAGAATCGATCTAATCGAATAAGATTCATTAAATAAGAATCGTATACATGAGGTAAATATAATAACCTGTGCGTTATTCGTAGTTATTCCAAAATCATCAATTAATTCATTGACAAATTGCATAATTGTATTAAAGAATCCATCATCAGGTTCTCCATATGCAACAAATGTAGCTAGTGATCGAATTAAATCCTTAGATCTATTATTTCGAATATAATCATCAAGAATATGATCAATTTCGTGGGGAGGCGCGTATGAGTATTCTTCATTAAATTTCTGATTAGCTTCGAGCAGTAAATTTTTAAGATAATCCAATCTAGTGATCGAGACTGTATTATTTATATATCGTGATACCTTATTTACTAATGCTTTCCTTTCAAATTTTAATCGCGAGTAGTCTTTTTTATTGCGCATAGTTGCATTTAGATTATTTAGAAAATTTAGAACGTCAACGCTGACTTTTGGATCATCTGATATAATATCTAATATATATTGGCACGAGTTAATAAATGATTTCAAGTTATTAACCTCAAAATTAGTCTTTTCTTGTAAATTTTCTTTTAATAAAGCCTTAATTGCATCAATCATTTGCTGGTTTGCTGGAGAATTTGATACTAGTTTTGGGTAGGTTTTTGTCGCATTTTTTTCAAGTATAGAATCGATTTTCATTTTGCTAATTATTATAAAATTCTTCAACTTTTCAACAGCATCGGCTTGTTTCTTTTTATTAGGAGTTACTCCGAATGTTAAATATCTTTGCAGCGTAGGACTAACCTTTTGCTGCTTCTTCATATGCTATTGAAATTTCCGAAGATGAGGGAGAAAATAAAAAAGTTCAATTGAATTCTCATTGAAAAATTTCTATTCAATTTTTCGTACCAAAAGAATATTTTATTACATATAAAATACTAGGATTGAAAAACGATTACCGATAGAAAAAGTGGCAATGGTTGCAACTACTTTTTTCAGATTTTCGATGAAGAAATCATTTAAATAGAAATTACATTGTACTGTTAAAATGCTGAAAAATTCAATGATCTGATCAGCATGAATTGCAATTTGATGACAATTATTAACATCTTGATTGATTTCTATATTATAATATCAGCAAAATTACTTGAAAATTGATCGAAAGTTTTGAGAATCGAATTCGATTTTAATCTCTCAAGACTACTGGATCGAGCTTGTATGATGTGCTGAATGAACATATCTAAAAACTAAATCATTCTCGTATTCGCAATATTCCTAAACAAAATTTTGATTTCAATTTCGTTCCACTTGCCAATCTATTTTTCACAGCTGATGTAAATTGCATAACATGTCAAAACAGAAACATTTCATCAATTAATTAGTTTGAAAAACATTAAAATTCAGAATATTTTTTCTATTGGAATATGAAAAAGAGCTTCTTTCGAAAAATAGTTGTTTTTATGATCATTTTTTAGAAACAAAAGAGTTAATAGCTTATTCTAATAAAGCAACTGGCCATTCGGTCTTTCTTCTTTGTCTATTATCCAAAATTCCATCAAGCTGCTTCTTCACAACAGCTGTACTCTGTCTTCTTCCTCCCATCTTTGCTTTCTTGATTTCGTCATGAGATAATTCGACTTGTAATTTACTTGCGTATATTTCGCCATCATAAGTGAGATCATATCCCATTGCTTGTCTGAACTCTATTAATGAAAGTAAAAGCTTCTTTTCAAGCCTTGGAAGTACAAATTTATGTCTTCTCTGTGCTTTATCAATTTTAATATTGTTTTGAATCAGATCATCCTTTGGTAATTGCTTTTGGTTTTGAACATTCTGCAAATCCTTGAATTCATTGAAATTCTTAATAATCGAAGATCTTTGGTCAATCATTGCTAAAGCAGGTGCAGCTATGACAAGTTCTCGCTGTAAACGAGCAGAAATTTCCTCAAGCTTGTTGAATCTGTCTATATCAGTCGTACAATTCTTTACCGGATGAAGAAGTATTTCTTTTTCTGCCGGAGTACGATAGAGAATATTTAAGGCTGCATCGATACGAGAATATGAGCGTTGGATGAGCTGAGGAAGTTGTTCTAATTTAGAAGCAGATAATTTTTGAATTTCTTCGTAACATCCTTGAAGAGATTGCTTGCTGAGCTTATTGTGAGTCGCAATGAACTTATTACGTTCTTCTTCAGGGATTTCGAGTAATTCCCAAAGATTTGTCAAAGTAAGCGCTAATCCTGAGTATGTAGATGAGTGAGCATGACGTTTAGCTTGTATTTCATCAAAATAGCGTCCCATTGCGCCAAATGCTTCTTGTGTAATGATCTTTTTGTCGAATATTTCTTGAATTTGAGGATTCGTTGGCTCATCAAGTTCATCAAGAATTTCACGAATCTTTTCTTCATTTCTATCAAGTAAATCAACACGGTTCTTTGTTTCTTGCTCGAGTAATTCCAATTCTTTCTTAAACCTCGCTAATCTGTCATCTGAAAGATCAACATAACCAATTTCGGCGAATTCGCCTCTATCAGAAATCGTATAACCGAGTCTGTCATATAATCTGTCTGTTTGATTTTTAATGTCAATAAACTTTGCACTTGCACGTTCATACTCAAGTTTGTACTTTTCAGCTGCCTTATCTAAATCTACTGATCTCTCACGAAGAGTTCCTTTAGATCCTATTTGCTTGATTTGTTCCAATTCTTCTTCAGAATGTGGAATGGCCTGAATAATTGTAAATAATGTTTGTCTTCTAAGGTTGATCGATTCAAGAATGTTATCACGTCTGATTTTAATCTGTTCAAGATATTGTAGCTTTGCAGCAATAATTGCTTGATTTAATTCGTGAATTGCATTTTCCTGTTCTTCATTAGTTATTCCTAAGTCATCCCAGACAGTTTTTAGCTCTGTTGGGACAGCAATTATCTCATCGTCAATGAACTCAGACATTTTTCAAATTCGTGATGCACGTTTATAATTTTTTTACTAAATATAAATCTCTTATAATATAATATCTAGTTCACAAATTCATTAAATTTCCAAATTAACTTATTGAATTGTTAAAATGCCATTGTTTATCATGATTTCTACTCAATTCTTCTGTTATCTATTGGTATTACAAAGCATCATAATATGTGTTGATTATTATTCACGATGATGTATATGATTATTGTATTAAATCAAAATATTTCAATCATTTGATATTCTATATGATGTATTACGCTGTTATACGATGATATTATGGCATGACAAGTATTAATAACAGTAATATACTAACTTGGCTTGTCATTTGAATCGATAACTTTCGATTTTGGAAAAATAAAAATTGTATTTTAGGAAAATCTAAATTAGGACATAAAAATAAAGAAGTATATATTATCCAATTATATAATATTTATAAACATGTAACTCTAAAGATATATATAAGCAAGAATTAAGCGGATGGAGGGACAATTGATTTTTCTGTTGGATTTTCTGGCTGAGCTTGTGCCCTTGTTAATGTTTCCTGAACAACATATTCAATACCATATTGTTCTTCTACTTGCATGCACCTTGCTGGATCATATTCAGGTTTCTTGAGGTTTTGAATGGCCTCAGTAACTTGGGCCAATTCATCTACCAGCGGAACGTTTGGATCTGTTCCCTGTTTGGCTTCAGGAAGGAATGAAACTGCTGTATCCATTCCGCAAGTAATTGCAACGGCAGCGAATGCAATTTGGCCTGGAGGGAAGAGTAGTAATGCATCTGTTTGAAGAATTTGTTTGAGACATTCTAAGCATTTCTCAAAACTTTCTCTATCGAGTCTTCCATCAACAATTCCATATAAATGGTGGATAGGAAGATGGATTTTGAGATTGAATTTCCATCCTGTAAGGCAGATAACTTCAGATTTAGCAATCTGTTCGTATGGTTTAAATCTGTCAATTAATTCTTGTTTGAAGCCTGCAACTCGGACCAATTCTGAGAATTTAATTGGGAAAATGAATTTGCAAACAATAAAGAGGGCATTCATCATTGCCAATGGAGGAGGAATGTCCCAAATTGTTTTTCTTACGTAAACACGCTGATAAAGAGCTAATGCTGTATATACTTGATATGAATTCCATATTTCAATCTTTGCAGCATACTTAAGTAACTCGTCTGCGTAATATTGAATATATCCACGATAATCTTCATAAGAAATATTAGAAGAAACAATTTCTCCGATTTCATTGTAGTTGCCTCTCCTCAATTCTTCAAGTTCTTCAGGGAAAAATAACCAGTTTCGTGCCTGAGTTGACTTGTTGAAATCCATGATTTTGTCACGTTTTTGACTTCGTCACTTTTCTTCAAAAATGAAAGTTTATACATTTGATACGAGAGTTTTTAATAATTGGATTACAATACTATTGGTATTGCTACTAACTGTAATCATAGGATATACTAATCAAACAGATATTTATCAAAAACTCAATTCTTTACCTGAAAATCGTACAGAATTGCTTCCATTTAAAGAATACAATCTCACTCAGCAAGGTCAAACAAACAAATTCAACTGGTACTTTCGTTTTCAGTGCGCTTTAGATGTTACTCGTGCAAATATTTTACGATCAATGAAAATTGGTATTCAAAATAAATATTTTAAATATACGATACCTTTAAAGATTCAGGATAATAGATCGAACGCGTACAATGGTGAAATTTTCACACACTTTTATGGCAGGTTAAATATGAGTTTTATGTATATGTTTGAACCACTAATCGAGGAGGAATACAATTTGTCAATGACAGGCTACTATTTCACAAATACATTATTGAACGTTCTCGATGATGAATTGGAAACTCTTAAATTTAATCGTATTTGTTTTAAAAACGGATCACTACATACATTTTCACAAAGCACATTGGTCAACTATAGAGAGGTTTCATCGTTTAATTACCAAAACGTCAGATTTAATTCAATTGTTGATCATAACTACAAAGATTTTATAAAGAGGAACAACGGAACTTACGAAATCAATAAAGCGAGACTATTCTTCGCCAAAAAATACACCAAATACGATCAATACCTTAAAGATATTATTTCTCCGATGCATCAAATCAATTCTATCGCAGGAAAGATGATGAACATCTTCTACGTCAATGATAAGCAACTATACACGCCTTTTGATGCACAAGAAAGCATGGTTTATATAAATCCAGAAGATTCTGTTTGTTTTGACGAACTACATATCATTCAACCAAAAATAACTACTACATTAGAGAACTTTACAACAACAGCTTCTGTTAATGGAACTGTTCACGATTTAGTTATTTTGAACTCTACAGGGGTATTAAACTATTCACAGATATTCATTGATGCTCTTAATACTTCTGATATCGAATACGTGCAAACAAACACTTCATTTAATGAAACTGTTTCGATTTTGTCAAATGCAAAATTTGTTCTTGTTCCATCATCATGGAATGAACAGTACTTACTGCATTTCATTCGTGGAACGATTATGTATGTTGCTCCTACTCCACATCTTCAATTTAAAGTTCAGAGAAACAATACAAAGTATATTCAGTTTGAACGAAGCGGATCTTATGAGATAACACCAGAGAATGTTAAAAAGGCAATTTCGGAAACAGAAAAATGCGATGTTGTCTTTGCTTATTTGAAAGATATTATTAAATGTGTTTAGAAAAGAAAGTTTTGTTAATCATTAATAAAGATATGTTTATTTAATCAGTTAGAGTATTTATACTGGAAATAGGTAATATTTATCTTTCAAGCTGTAGAAAAAGTATAATTAATGATGGGTATCAGCTAAGAACCTTCAATACAGTATTCTGGCTAAAAGGAATGAATTAATTTTCAATGAAATTATGTTGTTTGATATAAAATGAACATTTTAGTTAATAATTTGAGTTGCCTATTTAATTTTATACTGAGAAAAGGATGGACGTTAGAATGATGTCATTTTAATGGAATTTCTTTGATTGGAAAAGAAAATAAATTTGATAAATCGTCAATTCACGCAGGAAATTTCGGAAAAAGCAGCACCAATAAGATTTGTGTGGCAAACTGATTTATGTTCATCATATGAAGTTGGAGAATACGATACTTTGCTCTTTTTCCTTTTTTTATATCTGATAACTTTTTTATGTGAAGTTTACAATTTAAATTTTGAGAACTTTACAAAAAGCATTTAATAAGGACGATAGGTTCTCCTTCTTGTTTTTAAATGGAGATCCACGTTATATTGCCAACCAATGAATTAATCACTTTGCAGATTACAAAAATAACTAGTTCAGTCGATCTAAAGTCGATAATAGCCGAAAAAATTAAATGTCCTATATCATATATTCATCTATTTGTTAGAAATGTCGAGATAATAGATCCAACCGTTATAAGTTCCCTACAAATACCAGAAAACATGGCAATTATTTGCAGAAAACTCGAAGACACGAATAATCAGATTATTAATATATCTAATACAACAAAACCTTCGAGCACGCCAGCTGTCCCAATAAAAATCATGCCTCCAAAAGTAAAAATATCGAAAAAATATAAGAACGATCCTCCCGATTTTGAAGAAAAGCTACAATTTATGGAAAATATGGGCTTTTCGCACTACGTTGTTAAAGCAATACTTAGAATATCCAATTACGATACTGAAAAAGCAATATTACGTCTCAAGGGTGAACAGATATTTACGAAGTCCGATTATTTCACTTCACCAGACTTACAACCGGCTACATCAAGTCCCAAACCAATGCCAACAGAGAATTCCCCGCTATCCAGTCTAATTACTACGATGAATCATGAAATACAAAATTCAACGGAAGAATATGAGAGTTCAGAAGTATTTAATTTACTAGATTCTGTTTGCAATCAAGAAAAATCTCAAGTACAGGCAGACGAAAAACAGGCAGATCAGTCATCAAAAGCACCTACAACAAGATCTAAAAGATGGTCGTATGAAGAAGAGGAAATCCTAGTAACCAAATACGCAGAATTAGGCTCCGACTGGAATTCCATCGCCAGCTATATTCCAGGCCGCACAGCAAGCGCTATTATGCAACATTTTCAGATTCATAATAAATATCTTATGACAATAAAGCCAAAAGTCGGATCAAAGACACTTTCCATAGGTGGATCATCAAGTTCTGGTTCCCAACCTGGTGTTTCCTTATCACATTCTCAGTCATTTGATCTTCAATTTGACGAAAAGAACAATGACATGCTGTTCGAAGCCTGGAAGATATATGGAAATGACTGGGATTCCATTTCATGCATATTTCCACAGTATTCGACCCAAACTCTCTCAAGTTATTGGAATAATATTTTATTACCTAAATATTTGACGACAAACATGATTCCATTCCAAGCAGATGAGGAATCAGGTGACTTTACATACAGATTGCCAAAGAGTTCTCGTAAAAAAGTCCGATCATATTCATTATCTAAGTCAGTTATCATGCAGGATATTCAGAATGAACCAGCTCAGTCCCAGCAACCAGCATCTCAGACAACACAGAACGAGTCCAATGAAAATTCATCCCAAAGTGAACCTCGTTACGCCCCTAACAACCGTTTTCTTCTATGGACTGCAGAGGAAGAGAACACAGTTATAAACATGAAGATGAAAGGTGCCTCATTCGAGGAGATCTCTTCTGTTCTCACGAATAGGACTGCTTCGACAATTGCAACGAGATGGTATCAGAAATTACAGAAACAGCTTCAAAAATCATCACAAACTGAGGAAGAAGTACAATCAGAACAAAATGGATACGACTACGATGGCGAAGAATCAAACGAAGATGATTTTGATAATAATAATGGTTCTAAAAGACAATGGACACAGAAAGAAGACGAACTATTATTACAGTTATACAAAGAACATCATTCCAACTGGGAAAAGATCAACTCTTTCTTCACAAACAGAACTCCTGCTGCTTGTAGAATGCACTGCTATTTCCTTAGGCATAAAAGTGACAACGACCAAGCGACCAACCAAGGACCTTCTACAGGAAGTGCCATGCAGAGACGCAATTCTGTTAGTGCATTGCCAGTTGGAGGTCCTGCACAGTCTACTTTGCCTGTTCCATCGATTTCTCAGAGTATGAATGATAGTGCAAGCTCTGCAAAGTCGAATGAAAGCGATGAAGAATACGTAGAGCAACAACCAGTCTCAGAGCCTAATTTAAAGCGTACTTATAATAGCTGGACTGAAGAGGAAGATAAGAAATTAATTGCGGCTATAGAAAAAGGCGCAACATGGCATGAGATATACGCAATGTTCCCAGAAAGGAAAGATACATCAATCAGGACACATTGTCAGTGCACTTTGAAGAAGAAGAGGAAGAATTTGAATTTGCCATCAGGAAATCAGAAACAATGGCTCAAAGAAGAAGACAAGAAGATCATTGATATGAAGACAAATGGAAAACCATGGCAGGAGATAGCAGCAGCATTGCCAGGAAGGACTCCTGCGGCTATCCAGTCGAGATGGAACTTGAAATTAAAGTTAAAAGTGGACAAAGAGCCAGGAAGTTCCACAGGGCCATCGAAGACACGTTCAGTAACATTTACAAAGCGCGAAGAGAACATGATTCTGAGGAAAAAGAAAGAAGGATCTTCATGGGAAGAAATTACTCAACTTTTCACTCCGAAAAAGGCTGCTCACGTCAAGCAATATTACGATCTCTACTTGAAAGGCGAATTCGACGGCGAAAAGTATGAAATCAAGGACAATGCCGAAAAAAGAGAATATGAAAGCGACAATTTCGACCAAAATGAGGACAAAAGTAATTCGGAAGACTCTCCCGAGTGGACAGCAGAAGATGATAATGTCATTATTAGTGAATTGAATAAGAAAACTATTAATCCTGACATTGTAAAGCTGTTTCCAAACAGATCTAAGATAAATGTTTACAGAAGAATCGAGAAAATCAAATCAGACATTGCCCATAGCGCTCCTACTGAGACAGTACCAACACAGCCTGAGAAACAAACTCCAGAACCTCAAAATGAAACACAACAGAGAATTATCCAAGAAACAAATATCCAAACTCCAATAGAACATAGCATTGTGCCTTGGTCTGACTATGAGGATAATATGCTTCTTGCGAAAATGAATGAAAAAGTTCCTATTTCGACAATTTGTGATGTTCTTCCAGGAAGAACTGAAAAGGAGATCTTAGAGAGATACAAAGAGATCAATAAGAGCGATATTATCTAAGAAAACATCAATATGCGGAAAACTTATTTTTGTTTTTCAAGAATTTTTTTTATTTTGTTTTTTTATTATTATTAAAATAGAATTTTATATCTTTTAACCACACTAGTTCAATAACCTACAGTTAAATATAAAGTTTATTCATGCAATATAAAATTCTATTTAACAATTATGTTTAAATGGAAGTATTATTAGATGAAACAGTTTTTATAGGATAAGTGAAATATATCTTTTCTATATCAACCCTTGAATCAGTGATTTTAGTTGCAAAATTTTGGATTTGATAAAATTTATGGGAATAAGGAGCTAATTTTATAGTGATTAAATTATACAAATGATGAAGGTTATATTCACTAATATAAAATGGTATATTTGCATTTTGAAGCAACCGTTTCCAGAAAAATGACTGACTTCAATCAGCTTCTCGGAGAGTATCTCGACAAGACAGTTATGGCATTAAACAACATTGCAACACTTACAGAAAACTTTGTTAGCAATTGCGTTGAGAATGGCTGCGTTCCACCACATCCAGCAGATATTGCTCGCCAGAACTACTTCAAAGAAATAACAGGAAGTGAAATTCCAAAATTCGAAAAGACAGAAAAGACAGAAACAAAGACAACAAAGAAACCAGCGGCAAAGAAATCAGAAAAGACTGAAGAAAAGAAAGAAACAACAGAGAAAAAGAATGAAAAGAAAGTAGAAAAGGAAGCAAAGAAAGAAGAACCAAAGAATGATGAGTATGACCAAACTCCAGCATCTAGCCAAACTGTAGACGAAACTCCATCTCAGCGCCATCGCCATCGCCACCGCAAGCAAAAGCAAGAATAAAGTATACTACCATTATGAATAAAATAAATGCCTAAGTTATATTTATGAAAATATTCGTTTTTTTTTTAATACTTAAAAATCTAATACTAATATTAAACATAATAATAGTATATTTGAAAAATGCTATATGATTATTCAAATTTACCTTCTTCTAAATAAAAATATTTGAAATTATCTGATTCAAAGTGTAAAGATCTAATTGAAACAGAGTCACTCATCAGGGTGAATTAAAGAGATGATTAATTCATTACAAGTTATTTCAAATTCTAAAATTATTTTGATTGATTTTAGAATTTTTACATCGTTTATATAGTTCAGATAAAGCAATATTTTTATGTCTTATGAATTATATGTTTAAAAAAGAGAATTATAATTTTAATACAATAATATCTTTATATATATACTTTATGGTAATTCCTCGACGCAGTACTTCTCAACACTTGGCTTGAGAAGCTCCTTTGCCTCGGAATATTTGATTAATTCTGCATCTTTAGCCGGTATCTTAACAACGTCGCCGTTTAAAACGAGACGGAGATATGGCTCATTATCTCCCTTCTGCCACAATTCTATGGCCAAGTGAGATCTGTAAGGTGGAAGGTATTTTCCTGAAATTCCGAATGAATTCAAAACAGCAGCGATTGTAGAGTCATGGGCGCTGTACATCCAGAACTTCTTCTTTGTCTTTTCATTGAGGAGAGCATCGAAATCTCTTAAGGCAACTCTCCAAATTGAAGCTCCATTTGCTCCTGGCGTATAATCGAAGAAACCGTAAGAATACCATGCGACATCAAGTAGGGCTTGATCAACCATTTTATCTGTAACATAATCAGGTAAATCTTGGTCATTGCAATAATATGAGTATAACCAGTCACCAATGAACATCCAGTTGATGCCATCCTTAGTAATATTTAGTTTATCGAAGATACTACCGTAAATTCTCTCTGCCTGCTCTCTTCTCTTGGCAAATTCGGGTTCTTTGATAAATTTAGCCCATTGCTCTGAGAGATAAGTGCATTGGCCGTAATCTGGGTATAGAGGCTCGTGGTATGGTGTTCCTGTGATAATATCCAACTCTTCTCCTGGTTTTGCTGGTGGATAAAATTCGCTCATGAAAGATTGCTGAGATTTAATGCACCTATCAATCTTTGATGATCTTAATCCAACAAGTTCTTTGTCCAAACGATTTGGAAGGAATTTGAGTTCTTTAACTAAATAATTTCTGTAAAATTTGCCAAGAGCAGCATGTTGACGCATGCCTGAAAGTGTAAGTTCACCACCATGGCAGCTAGGTTGGAAAGAAAGAGAATCGTCGTTTAATGAGTTTAAGAATCTTCTTCTGAAACCATTTCCCTTCAATGAGGTAATTCTTGGAGAGTATGAATGCTCCGATTGGCATTGCCAGAATCCGGCCTTCTCTGGATCAAGCCATTCTTCCATGGTCGTTCTCATTCCGTGTCTTGTTACTAAAGTTAGAGCAATGAGCTTGTGCTTTGGAACTGGATCTGCATGTTTCAATTCTGATTCGCATTGAATCGAGTAGGAGATTGTTTTATAGAGGAAGAAATGAAACATCAATGATAAAAAATTTTCATCGTTTTCTCAGAACCATTCAAAATTTTTAAGATTAATTTTAATAATGCTTAATACATGATAAGAAAGGAAATTAAGAACATTTAGAAAAGTGCCAAAAATTATTCATTCAATGAAGAAAGGTGACCAAACTATTTTTTGAAAGTCCGCCATAACTTTAATGGTACTATTTCAGCGTGTACAATGAATACAAAAATTCTAAGAGTGCCACATAAAATAGTACTTTAGACTTGAGTTAATGCTACCAAGCAAATGTTAAAAAGATGACTTTAGTGTTTTGATAATCAAAGATTAAAATCATTATTGTCTAAATCAATAATCATAACGACAGAAGTTAATGTTTTTTCATAAGTGCTTTAAATCCACTTTTAAAAGTATACCTCAAAAATCAAAATATCAAAAAAAATTGGCCGATAGGTTTGGCTTTAATTTTTGTCTGCTTTTATGATTTGATATGGATGTTATAATTTTAAAAGTTGAGCCAAATTCACCAATAGATTTTTGAGATTTGCAAATACTCAATAATTTTCAGCGTGTTATCTTTTATTAAAAGAACTATTTGGTTTCAGTATCATATAAATTGATATTTACTTTCTATTTGAACCTTCATTTAGCTAATGATTTAATAATACAGATTTCATCTAGTCCTTATAAGAGAATTTTGAATTTGTTATAATAAAAAAACAAACAGATATAGCTTACACTTCTATAATAAAGATACCTTTTATAGAAATCAGTATGAAATGTGTTTTGGCTTATTGGAAGCATATCAGACATAATCGCCATAATCAAAAAATCTATATACCCAATAAGTAATAAATTTGTCGATATAGATTTTCCATAAAATTAGTTTTTAGTCTGATCTTAAAATAAATTTAATTTTTTATAAAAAAAATCACATTTAAAAGTACCTTTTTAGTAGCTCGAAATCCTGTTGGTGGATTTGGGGCGTACTTCAAAATTAGCTTTTCTTCTACATATGCAAGCTATATTTTAAATATGGGGCAAATCGGATCGGCGAAAGGAGTTTAGTTACCTTTCAATGAAGAGCATTCTTGGACTGAGCAAAACAACTAGCAATACTTAATTTCCGAATACTTGATGCCAGCATATAATTATAATTACTGAAGTGCAATGAATGAAATTGTAATAATAAGTGATAAAAATCTAATGATGCAATAATTTATCTATGGAAATATACCAAAAAAATGTTTAGCAGAACAATAAATGCCATATTTTTTTATTCAGATTAAAAAACAATAATAAGTTTATTGATATCAATACCATGCGAAATAAGTAGTTCGGCTGTTTCTTTACTATTATATCTTGCTGAAACATGAAGAGCGGTTTCTCGGTAATGATTCAATATGGAGAATTTTTTTCAAATTATAGAACTATTTGAAGTACAATAGAGACCAACACTGATATGGAAGTATAGGATATCAAAGAGCCTTTATAATGGTAATACTATGATGGACAAATGCTAAAATTTGACTCAGTTATAATCAAATTTTTGATCTCAGGGATATTGAAAAAGTAAAAATTTGAGGGTATGTTCATTGATTTTTATACCATGTGAAATAAGATGTTCGACTGTTTCTTTATTATTATATTATGCCGCAATATGAAGAGCAGTTTGTTCATTTTTTTTTTTCGTTGATGATGAAGGTATTATTGACGAAGTATGCCTTCACCATTTCTAGCCTGAGAAAAGGATTCATATTTATGGTATAGATAGAATAGATCATAAGAAGCTTAACTTGAGACTTAGGTATGCATTGCGACCTTTCAAAAACAAGGTCCCCACTTCCCACATTTTTGAAGAAAGTGGGTATCAAAAAAAAATTTAATATTCAAAAATTTGGGGCCGACGGCGGTGATGCGCCCTTCGGGCGCATCACCGCCGTCGGCCATATAACAAAAAAAATTAAGAATATAAATTTTAATATGTCCTATTTTTTCTTTTCCTTTTTTTTTCTTCTTCTTTTTCTTTCTCTCTTTTTTTCTTCTTTTTCTTTCTCTCTTTTTTGCACTCTTGTCGGTCGAAGTTACGCATTCAAGTTATGAATGCGGAATATTGTCTCATTCTGGGAGACATGCAATGGCAATATCTTCCAAACTTTATAACTTCTTAAATTCATAAGTTATAATATTAAATCTTTTAATTCTTGAAAAAAATATTATATCAATCAAATTCATCAATAAAAAATTTGTTTAACATAAACTAAACTATTAATTCTAATAAAATATTTATATTCTCATCTAATTCCTCATTATCTTGTTCAGATAAATTATCCAAAACCGAATCAAGATCTTTTTCTTCAAAGTATTGTTTTAATTCATTCATCATTTCTTGATTTAATAGTATTTTTTGGATAATCTTAATAATGATTTTCAGAGATTTTAGCTGAACTTCAACTGCATCTAATTGAAGTAATTTCACCAACTGCTGATAAGAAAATGGCCATAATTCTAAAAGTTCATCTTCAAAATTTTGTTATAAATTTACAAAAATCTTCCCTATTCTTAAGATTGTTTGGAATGATAAATCTAAGGATATGTCAGCTGTAATATCTATTTCTGTGCAAAACATATATAGAATAGCATTGATATTCTTTTTTATAATTTGACTTCTTCTAAATTCAATTGGAGCTATTTCTAATATGAATGCCAAATCGTCCATTATGCGATAGGCAAAATTAGGTTCCTCAAATTTTGAAAATGAGATAATTATTTCATCATAGGGGAAATTTTCTCCGTTCCAACCATTTAGAAACATGTTTTTCATTAATTCACATAAGTCAACACCGCATTCAAAAGAATTTTCTTCATACTCTTTTTGAAAATTTATATTGATAATTTCAATTGAAATTAATCCGAAATTCAACAGTGATGAATATGATCTGAATATATATTTTTTTGAATCTATCATATCAACTTTATATAAATATTGTAAAATTTGCAGAATTGAATTTAAATCCATTTCATTCAAAACTGTTGATATGCTGCAATACTGAAAAATGACTCTGCTTAGATATTTATAATAATAATTGTACACAATTTTCCTGTTTTCTGAATAGTTCCTTCCAATAACAATATCTAATATGAAAGGTGGAGAAAAATCAATGATCATATGATTTATATATTCTGGTTGTATTTTACATATTGTGGTAAGGCACTCTAGGGCGTCTCCTACGTTGAGTAAAATATTTGAACCCAAAATGTGTAAGCAAAGGTCTACAAGTCCTGTATCTATCATTTCTGGTATGTTTGTTGGATTCTTTTGTATAATTTGCGAGAATAACTTTAGAATGCTGTGAATGATTTTATAATCCAAATTACTATTATTTGTTTTTGCGATTAAGGTTTTGAATAGCTCTATTGTACAATTATTTACCTCTGTAATTGTGAAATCAAGATCAATGTAATTTTTGAAAAGTTTCATCCATAATAAGAATCTTTGCTGATTAATTAGATTTTCAGAATCTATTTCTTGCAGGTATTGAACGCCCATTAATATTTTGTCTTCTGATGATTTTTGATAAAATTCATATTCGGAATTAGATAAATTTGAAAAACTTGGCTCGGCAACCGAGTCACAACTGAGTCGATTCGTTTTGGTAATGAATTCTTCCTTGTATTCATAATCCATTTAAAAAATTGTATACTAGAATCAAAATCTCGAGCACAAAAGTGACATTGAATACTTGTAAGTATTGAATTCCTATGTAAACTATTCATTTCTATCGTTTTTTGTAGTCCACATTTCCTCACTCTCGATTTTACTCATAAAAATATTAAAAAATCACTATACAATATATAAAATATATATTTATATGGTTAAAACAATGTTATTTTTGCGAGATTTCATCTGAAATTAAAATTAGGGATTTTTTGAATTTTGAACTAAAATTTGTGATTGTTAACTGTTTTTGGGATTGTGACTGTTCCTGTAATGGAACTACCATCAAACCATGATTCACCGATAACTCGGAGAACTCTACTCCGATTAGAAGAAGTAGAAAAACTAATGATCTCCAAATTCTCAAAATTTTTAATATTTTGTATTGTTTCGATCGTTGGTGGTATTGAAATAGATTTAATGTTAGGATTTTTCTCGGGGATAATCTTTGTGACCAAATATTCGTTATTATTGTACAATATATTTTCAGGAATTAAAGCGTTTTCTATTCTGGAGTTCACAAACGTTGCAGTTCCATTTTCTAATGTATATGAATTATTTTCATCATCGAATTGAATTGCTTTCGCAGTAGAAAATAGAAGAATTAGCATGAAAAATGTCTGAACTTTTAAACTGCTTGCCCTAAGGTGGACAATATTGAAAGGAATTCAATGAGTTCTCTCAAAAATAACCACCTTTTCATATTCAATACTATTGTCCACCTTTCGTCCAACTTAAATAATTTATTTAGAAACAACAAAACAAAATAGATAAAAATAAATAATGCAGCAAGGTCCAGAAAGACCTAAAAAATCGAAATGACGGAGTGGATTTTTGATATAACTCATTAAATGGAAATTATGAGATATTATAATTAAATTTTTCACACTATCCGAGATATAAGAAAACTAGCATCCAGGTAGCTCGGATATATGGGTAGTATCTATTTTTGGAGAAAACTCCAAAAGTTAAAGTTATGATTTACTAATGAGAACAATTATAAGAGAAACAAGTAGCTGAAAAGGGGCATCATTTGATATGACTAACAATTACATATTCGTAAGTTTCTGCAATGTCTGTTCGAGGAGAATTTCTGCTTGATTTGGATGAACGTTTATAAGTTTTTAGAGTAAATAGTTGAAGAATTTGGAGTTCCTAGTATGAGTATGTTAAGTGGACAGTAGAGAAATTTGGTAGCAATGCATAACGGTTGCAATATTTTCGGGTAATTCAGAATAGGATCTGTTTGAGCATAAAGAGATGCAATATTATTGCATCTCTAATCATTAAAGCCATGCATCTTGTGATTTCAATGCGTGTTGTGTCTCTGTTCCGCTCACTAAAAATGTAAAAAAAAATTTGACTATTCTCCACCTTAGGGCAAGCAGTTTATTTTTCGGATCATAGTTTAAGATTTCAAAAAATATTAGTATTGACATGGTACAAATTGTTATCCATTTCCTAAAACAATTTTGAAAAGGACGGTTGATAAAAACGATTATCAAAAATAGTTCTATTTATCATTTCGTATATACCATATTTTTTGATGATTTTTATTTCTTTTTTAATCAAAATTTAACGGACCTCATTGAAATCCTCTAAATTTTCTGGGGAAATGTAAAATCATCTTATCGTTTTTTTTATTTTATTTTATTTGTGTGATAAATGCATTAATACTATTTCTAATAACTAGGGGTTTCGTTTTGCGAAAAAAACGTACAATACGCAATTTCGCTAAAAAAACATTTAGCTAGCAATTTCGACCTTTGACTCCACTCAAGACGTCACTTTTTTAATTTTGCGGTATCATATTTTTGGAAAATCTTTATGAATATTATATAAAAAGTCTCTTTAATATCTATATTTCATATTTTTATCGATTTTTAAAGTTTTTGCGAAAAGTATTCAATTATTTTTGCTATTTGGTCGGGTAAATGTCTGATTTGCGACATTTTCTGATATGATATTCAGATTCTACGTTGATAATAATGCTTATAGAACCCTCTTGCTATTGTGTCAAAATTGCGAAACCGATAGCAAAAATATCTCGCAATATCAAAATTGAGATATTGAGTGAATTATGCATTATAGAGATTAAAAATCTGATTTGTGAAAACATCTCATCAGTTTCTAGCTAATTCAAAAATCTTTACTATCTTATTCGATTAAAATGAAAAGGGAATAGTTTCATTATGCTTTAAATGACAGCCTTATAATATAATCATAGTTTTCGCTCAATATGCAGCATTTTTTTTCGAAATCTATGGTCAATATCCTAAATACTGATTGCTTTGCATTCATATCTCTTACATTTTCTATACCCACATCACTATTCATTGCTATTCCTATCTTTTTCATTTTTGTTTGTTTCTCATAATTTCTCAAAAAACACGATAACTTGATATTTGTAAATATCATACTTTATAACGTAAATAAGAACTTGACCTATTAAGAAAAGCAGTAATGAAAAGAAAATCTGAAATTCATAAAAATTACAAGTTTCTGATGACAATTAGCTTAATTAAACCAGGTACAAGATTATATAATTGTATTTTCTATCCAATTATCCATATAATATCTTATCCAGAAAAAATAACTTGATCAATACCAAATGATTTTTTAACTAGTAAATAAAGTATTTTCTTTACACACACATTGTATATCATAGTTTTTTTTGGTTTCGCAAAACATCCAAAAACAAATATGCTATAAAAGTGACAATTTTAGCAAAACGAAACCCTTATAATAATCGAAATAGTTATTTCGCATGAATAGCCAAGAAAGGACCTAAAGATGGAATAAAAAATATGAATTTAAAGATAATTTTTTTAAAAAAATATTTACAAACAAAACATTAAAGTGTCTTTGATCTGTTGATATCATCCAATCTTTCTTTGGCAGCATCAAGTTTCTTTTGAAATGGGGACCATGCTTTTTTCAACAGATCTATGTTTAATTTAACTTTTTTATCGCGAAGGAAATCATGGCAGACAATATTCGTACACATTGACCTGCTTGAATAGCATTCAAAGGCTCGAATAGAATCCTCATCCTTTAAAATAGAATATTCTGAATTCATAATAGAAAAATATTCAACATCAGCAACATTTGATGCAGTTTCATACCAGTCACGGCACCAGTAATTATATGGCATAACTTCAAACATGGCTGTTGGAAATTCCGGTGAAGTTGGTTTCATCCACAAAACATTGGCCAAACCACTACCATGAAGGCCAATTATTGCTGATGCTGATGTAAAAAGTGAAATCTGCGCATTAATGGCCAGCGATTTTAGATCTACTCTGACAACTTTGCAATAATCACATTCCTTTTTAACAAAGTCTTCAATATCATCAATATTCGTTATATCTCGACTTGAACCCTTTCTTTCTATTATAACTATTGTTGGATTACGTGGATTTAGAATTGTATCTTCTAATTTTTTCACTTTTAGAACGAATTCTCTAAATCCAACACCGTGAGTACGATTATATCTATATCTGAAATTAATCATTTGGTCCGTCATTCGATAAACCGATGGGTCTAAATCAAATTTTTCCAAACCAACAATAGCTCTCTTGAGAGAAAGGTTCCTAGCAAGATTACTAACTCTTCTAGCAGGTATAGAGCTGAACAAATTGCAAAAATCTGTAAATGCGTCAGCTTCATAATCATGTAAAAGGATTAAACGACCTTCTGAAGGGTTTTCACCTTCTATTGTTCGTATCATGTTATAAGTCGGTAGTGCGAAATCAAATAATATATGCCAAAGCATCATGGAATTGTAAAATCTTCCTATAATATAAGAAATTTGGTTAACTTCGAACATTTCTGTGGATTTATTAAATATTTTGTGAGAAACGATCGGTTCAGCATTCAATCGATCACCTTTCCTATCAAATGGAGGAGCTCTTGAACCTGGTATCAAAAAAGGGGTCGGAAATTGATAATAGCATGGTGTTGATACTGTAATACAGTTCTTATAGATGTATACATTTCTCATATCACACCATCTTGTATTGTAATCTTCTCCGTAACATTTCATTTGAGAATATTCTGTGTTTGTATATTCTGCGTTATCGACTGTAATTGGGAAAGCATAACGTGTGCTTTTGGCAATGAGTTTGCTAATTCTGTTATTTATCTTTGGAGGGTTTGGAAAACATAAAAATTTTCCTTTATATATTTCAATTGCTGGTAATAATAGATCAAATGTAATTATCTGTTGATCAATATATGAGTGCGTAAATGCATGATAATCAGCTATTAATGGTTCTTTAAATAAACTTGTTTCGAAGAAAAAATGCTCTAAAACGGAGTAATTAGTTTCATCAAGTATTTGATCCTTGAATGAAATAGTGATTTGGTTAAGATTTGCTTCGATCTTATCGATATTACTGCAAATATTATTTTTATTATCTGAAGAACTGCCAATTTTGCCCGAAACATTTGTTACAAGCATAAATATGAGTTGACCTGATATGAAAAAGATGACCAAAAATATTAATAATGATCGTATCTTCCTCTTGTTAAATATCATATTCATGCATCGAACTAAAATAAGAAAACAGAGAAACAGGTCAATTATATCAAGACCATATGAAGTTGTTAGAGTATTTATGATCTTCAAATATCAGGTTTGAAAAAAATTCAATCCAGAAATTTAGCATTGGATGAGTTTTATATGAATTTTATGGAATACGCATGCTACATACTTATATTCACTGAAAGATTTCTTAAATTTTTTGAATATGATTTTTCTGAGCACAAAAAAGTACGTTGCTAAAATTTGAATATAATGATTGACGAAGAAGAGTGTATCTACAATTTAATACCGAAGCCACCACCGGTCATTGTTAAAGAGCCTCTTCATAAGAGTAAGTTCCAAGATCAAAAACAGTTTTACACTGCAAAGAAACTCAGTCATGCAACAATGGGTCTTCCTCCTGAAAAACTCCGTCAACCACCAAGCCAATATTTAAAGAAAGGAGAACGTACAAAGAAGTTACCACCTAAAGAGCGCGTTATTCCTAAAGGAAACGAAGGATTGACAAAGCCACCAGTTCCAAAGGCAACAGAAACAATTAAAATGAAGTCTCCTACAAAGCACAACTATATTCTTGAAAACTGGAAACAAGCTCCGAAGACAAAGAAGCTTCATCCAGAAAAGCCAGAAACATGGTATACAGATAAGCCTGAATATGGACAAGTTCCAGCTTACTTGGATCGTGTCAAACAAGAAGCTGCAGACGAAGCTGAGTATTGGGATAACGTTCGTGAATCAATGGTTCCAGAAGATACAGAAACACGTTGCCGCCTTCTTTCTGAGGAAGAACGTATTGAAATTCTTAATGGATTGTATGCAAATCTGGCTGAAAATAAGAAACGCTATGCTTCATTAAGCTTCGGTCAAGATAACCTCTCATTCCGTCGTAAGAAGGAAGAGATGGAACGCGAAGCTGCTCAGCTTGAAGCCGATATCAAGACCTTTGAGCGTCCAAATGTTTATATCACAGAAAATTAATTTCTGTTTATTTAAAACAATCTTTAAACTGTGAAATGTCTTCTAATAAAAATCCCTTGCTATTTTAAAACTTACTCTTTCTTTTTCAAAGCCTCAAACAAAGACAACATTTGGAGATTATTTTCAGATCCCACTCTAATTTCAATTGGAGAAATCGGTGCTTTTGGAGAACATTTTTATTCTGCACACTATCATTTGATTCAAGATAAATTAGAATTAAAATTTCGATCGTCACGTTTCTAAAAAAATTCAATGTTCAATTATATTTATCATTATTGCTTTGAAACAAAGCAAATGCCCATTTGGGAAGCATTCCAATATGTGTGGGCTTGCATGCTTGTTGGAAATGCGAAATCGTTAAAAGCAGTCCCGATTGCATTCATAGAAACTTTATTAATTGGTATAACCCCATATTGGCTAAATATATTTGTTTTACGTCACACAGATTCATACGAACTTTATGATCACAGTTTATTATTGTTAATTTTGATTTTTGCAATTCTACAACTTTTCCCAATGAAAATTATTATGCCGCTAAATATGCCATATCTCATATTCATGCATTCAGTCAACGTTATTCGCAGATTTATCTACTGCCACTCACGAGTTATCAACATGCCGCTTTCTTATTCTTTGCCAGCAACTTTATTCATAGCATCAAGCGATTCAATATTATGCTTCGCAGTTTTCAAATTAATGCACAGTTCATATCATAAATATTGCGATCGTTTTGCCTTCGTAAGAAGTTCTTGTGGTTGCTTAGTATATTTTATCACAAGTAAACTTGGATATATAAGTGAGCAGTATAACGCAATACTTGCTGCAGTTATTATTACCTTATTTGATTATATTACAATATTCTACCGATCTTGGATGGAATTGCATCAGCGAATGCGCCGTCGTGAAACTGTTTCTGACTAATCCTTTATATTCTTTCTGTTATTTATATTTTTTTGTGTTGTTTTAAATAAAATATTTTCTGCTTGACAAAAATATTTATTCTGATCATATATTATAAGCTATATTGGAAGTGCTATTCAACGTTAGTTGTCTCATTCCCTAATAGCATATTTTTCGGAAAAAGAATTTGTAATACATCAAAAAATAATAATATGTTTATGTAATAAAGAGAACAATGATATAATTGTGGAATTGCCGCGATATCCTTTCTTTGAACATAGATTGACCTTAATTTTATGAACGATTCTTGAGTTTGATTGAGAAGAAACTTAATCTTTAAAAACGAACTGTATGACAATGTTACAATGCATGATTGGGGCACGAATATATTCGTATTACCTATTAACTTTGCCTTAATAATTGAAATTTCATTATTTTATGAATAAATCTGTTAGATCAATTCTACTACTTTGGTTGTGGTCTGTACATGCAGCGTATATAGTCTAATTGGCAGAAATCAAAAATTTCAATAGTTCTTGGAGAACAATGCAAAATAAAAATGTGACATTTATTAAAAATTTTATTCTGATATCGTAATAATTTTGAGCTGCATCAAACAAATAGGAAAAAGTATTTGAACAATTTGCTTACAAAATTTTAGGATGATAAAAGTGACGCTATGTTAGTTAACTTCACCTCCGATATAAGATGTTTCTTTCATAAATAAATCTTGTGAGCTTTAATATGAAGTGATCGATTTTGACACGATCAAAACCACCTAATTTGAGAGAAGAATGGTCGAATTCATTGAAAATAAATTATTTGTTCACTTTCATAGTATGGCGACAACCTACTACGACGAGAAATCCGGTTTCAGGATGCAGATCCACTTCGAGCCAACACTTGGCGACAACTTCGAGGCTATTGTCAATGAATACAAGCCAAAGGTTGCTCAGGCTCTCGAATTAATCAAGAGAATGGAAAACGGTGAAATTGTTAACCACACAGAAGTTAAGGAGGAGAGTGAAGATCGTATGGTCGATCACTACAACCTCCGTATGGAGAAGGAGCTTGTCAAGGGCAAATCTCTTGCTCACACTCTCGCTATGTGGGAGGAAGCCAAGAAGTTTGCTGAGGATGTCATGACGGGCGTTATCAAGACATCCGCTGGCAAGAAGTACGAGTCCATCATCTTCAACGGTATCGGTGGCTCCTATCTTGGCCCACTCATGCTCATCATTGCTAAGTACGGCATGGACTTCAACACAACAGCCGGCCTTCCAATGAAGATCTACTTCATCTCCAACACAGATTCCGACATGTTCCACCAGATCACATCCAACATCAACGTCGATGCTTCCATCATGGTCCACCTTTCCAAGTCTGGCTCCACATCCGAGACAGCTGGTAACACACAGACATGGATGAAGCTCTGCCGTGACAGAAATCTCGTCCTCGGTGAGCACAACGCTGCCGTCACAATCAAGGACTCACTCCTTGACAAGATCGCTCATGAGAACAAGTTCATCCGCACATGGCACATGGAGATCGACACTGGTGGCCGTACATCAGTTTGCTCCGCCATCGGCTTCGTCCCATACGCTTTCGCTCGCTGCGACTTCGGCGAATTCATCAAGGGTATGTCATACATGGACACACTCACACGCGCTGAAGGCGAGAACCCAGCTGCTTTACTCGCTACAGCCATCGATGCTAACAACCACAAGGTTGGCCACCGCAACATGATCGTTCTCTGCTACAACGAGTTCATGAGAGAGTACGCCCACTATCTTCAGCAGCTTTACATGGAATCCCTTGGTAAGCAGTACAAGGTTGACGGCACAGAGGCTAGACAAGGCCAGACAGTCTTCGGTGGTGTCGGCACTGGCGAACAGCACTCCTTCATGCAGCAGGTTCAGAAGGGTATCGCTGATAACTTCGTCCGCATGATCTACTTCGAGAAGAGAGAGCACGATTACGTCAACGAGCAGGCTGGCTCCATGGGCAGACAGCTCCTCGCCTTCCTTATGGGCACACAGAAGGCTCTCATCCAGAACAAGAGATCATTCGCTACATCAACATTCCGCGAGAGAAACGAGTTCACATTCGGTATGATGATCGCTCTTGAAGAGAGAGTTGTCACATTCCTCGCTTCATTCTTCGGAATCAACGCTTACGATCAACCCGGAGTTCAGGACGGAAAGAAGGCTGCTACAGGCGTTAACGCTACATCCAAGAAGATCGTCGCTGGCCTCGAGAAGATCGAAGGCAAGCTCTCTGGCTACACAGAAGACATCTTAAAGGCTCTCGGCTTCGAAGATGTCCCATACGAAGCTGAAGACGTCCTCAACGATATCGTCAAGAACATCAACGTTGAAGAGTCATATCCAACACTCAAGGGTGTCATCAAGGCTGATAACCACTGGTGCTCAAAGTGCAAGCACTACTATTTCGACTTCTCTAAATAAACAGCTTTCATTATGATCGATCTTTTCTAATTACATTGATTTTTTATATGTTTCTTTTAATCTATTATATCTATTCTTTATATGTATTAGAGTAGGATGATTATTCCTTTCGTTTCTGTTTGTTCTTGTCACAGAATCAAATAATAATGAAATTTAATATGTTGGATCAATGCTTTTGATAAGTATCACATTCGAAATCAAACTAGTCAATATCATTTTTACGATGTGTTATGCTGGATTAACTTAGATTTAATATTTGATGAAGATATATTTGTTAATTCAAAAATATTTTTAAAAAAAATGTATGTGTAAATACAATGGGTTTAAATCTGGTTTTCTAAAAATTGTTATTTAGAAAGGAATCTGCTGTATTTTCATAATGAAAAAATTTATTCCTTGGAAAGGCGCTGAGCGTTGCGCTGTTCGAGCTTCTCAAGTCTGAGCTTGAGGAAGAGAGGAACACGGTTGCGGCGGACGTTGACGTTACGTGGGCGGACAACGTGGCGGTGGACAGCGCAGGAAACGCAGTAGTACTGCTTCTGGTATGTCTTTGGAAGCTCGTAGCCTTGGTAGATGCAAGCATCGGAAACATCCTTAGCTGATGAAGCATCGACCATATTCTTGATGGCGAAACGTGTGATAGCCTTATCCTTTGGGACTTGGCGACCGCAGTTCATGCAGTTGACTGTTCTTGTATGGCCACGGTTCATCTTGGAACGGCCGTGATTCCTCCTCTTGACGGGCATTAGAAAGGCGCTCCTATCGTCACTTTTTACTTCTTGTCTCCACATTTTTAAACACAACCAAAATAAGTAGATTTACCTTCTCATGTTTATACCGTTCCAAAATTCTATTTCCAAATTACTCTGATTTAGAATGAAATTGATTGAAATCTGAGATTGAGCAATATCCCATATGCATTCATAATATATACATGCATTTTTGCAATGTTTTGATAGAAGATCTCACTGAAACTCGATATTTAAGAATTGATATTTTTGATTCTATGAAAATTGACTCTATTTCTTAGGTCTATACTTAATTTCGCATAAAATGTTAATCCAGTGTTTTTGATTCATTATTTTAATAAGAAATGTTTTTGGCTTTGATTTCGTTTTTCAGGGCTCCTCCTTATGGAGCAATGCGTGGTGGTATGCTTGATTATCAATCATTTAAACATGTTGTTAAAGCAAATAAAACTGAAAAACTCGAAATTAAAAATCCAGACGTTACAATTATTTTCAAACCTAATCCAGCCGTTGAAATTGAAGCTTATCTTATTGTAAATGGTCGAGAAATCAAGGCTGGCAATATATTTCCTTCAAAAAATCGATTTGGATTCCATTCAAGTGAATTTAATTGCTCATATAAACTAAAATCACGAGTTGAAACAGAAATTGAATTTTATATTCTAAAAGATGCCAATTTCTGTGAATTAGTCTTCTTTTCTACTCATGAAGGAGAAAGTTTTGTTGCATCAAACGTAGATTTTGGTAATATCACAGTACATGGCGAAACAGTATGCTTCATACATCATCCGCCAATGCCAGTTGAGTTTACAGCCGTTACTGTTGGTACTGGATTCATGTTAGAGCAATATATCAAAAATTCCAATCCAAAATCATTCTTTTCAACACAATCATACCATAATATTACAAATCCCTACGCAGCTTTCACATTTACACACTTTGATATCAAAAGAGATTCAACATTTACATATATAGCAAATATAGAAGGAAATAGAAGTGGAATTTCTCTAAGATTCGAACACTCCGAGAGAAATTTCTTTATTACGAATCATATTATTGAAATTGTTCAAATTCCAGAAGATGCTTTTCTTCCTTTACCAACTTCTACACCTGTAATGCCAAAACGGACGCCATTTAAGACACCTGCTAAAACATTAGTCCCTAGAACTGCAGATTTAGGTGGCGGAGGAGATCTTGAAGATGATGACGAGCCAAGAGTAAATGAAAGATACCAAGCATCAGGAAAACGCCGTAGAAATAGTAATACTCTGCTAATACTCATCTTTATAATGATTATTTTAATTACCATTATAATTACCGGTGTAGTCTTATTCCTTACCTATTTGAATAAGAAAACAATCGGAGAAGAAGATGCTCCGCTATTGCCGATCCAAAGCCATCAGTTTATCTTCGTTCCACAGCCTCAACCCGAAAATTAAGTTTTATTACTTATTATTTTGTATGTATTTCATAAAGTTGTAACTATATAGCACATTTTCGAACTTTTTAATATATCTTTTTTACTCCAAGCTTGAAATCGAATTCAAAATAGATTTATTCATTGGATCATAGTCCATTTTCTTAATATTATTGATCTCTATCATTTGTATGCTATGAATATATGGTTCATTCTGCTTATTTTTCAATCTCTAATTATAAAACGTGACGAGTCATCGTCCTCAAAATTGTTCAAGCAAAATTTCCATGCAAACTATTAGAGAATTAGTTGACTACGCTCCAATAGCAGAGGATATTGGTAAATCATTCATAATTGGCTATGGTGCAGGCACTGCTTGCGGTCTTGTTGTTGGATTCAGCCGTAATCACGACAATCTTCCTTTAATTACATTAAATGACACATTAAATTGCATCGAAAAGTACTCTGGCGAGTTTGGTTATACATTTGGCATTGCAGCTGGTCTCCACACATTATCTTGTCAATTATCAAAGAATCTTAAACCAATCCAGAAGCACGCAATTGCTGGTGGTGTTGCCGGAACATTCATCGGTTCTCACTGGGGAATGAAAGGAGCCATTGGCGGCGGAGTTGTTGGTGCAGCCCTTGGTGCTGGTTATGGATATGCCTCAACCAACCCAGAACTTCTTAAGTACTTTACAAAATAAGTATTTTCTTACTTTCTGTTATAAGAATTTATAGATTTTATAATAATCTAAAAAAATTAGAGTTAAATCATATATATTTTTTACTTTAAAACTTCTATTTAAGTTGAAACATGTAAAGAAATATAATGAATTGATTATATGCAGAACAAATATTTTGTCATAAGAAATTAACCAAAAATAGCTTTCAATTGCTGCTTTTTTAGTTTACTTAAGAGTAATTTAAAAGGTTTTAACAGTCAGAAACAAAGAAATAAAAAAAAATGAAATCAGATATTTAGGAATTCATCAAGTAAGAATTAATTTAAGTTATGGTTTATTGACTATGGATTTTTGGTTTTAGAAAATAAAACTTATTTGGTCTGTAAAATAATATCAGCAAATTTGTTTATGGCTTTTGTTTAAAGTAATTTTAAAAAATATCTGAGCTCTTTTAGAAGCCGCAGACTGTTGGGCGGACACCAGAGAAGACCTTTCTAGCAGCAGCTGTTGGGGCGCGGATGGACTGCTTAAGGATTGGGAACTTAATATTCTCGTGTGTGAACTGAGAAATGTTCTTGTGGACGAGATCCTTATCAGCAACTTCAGCGACCTTGATGATTGAGATGTTGTCGGCTGTTGTGTCGTGTGTGCCGGCAAGTTCAGCTAACATCTTTGTAACAGCACCCTCTGTTGTTGTATCACGGTACTCTTTGTAAACGTTGTGGTGGTTGCGAGTTGAGCGGTATGAGAGCCAGATGCCGTAGTTCTTTACGCGTGTTGGCTCTGGTTCGATAACATGCTTAACAGCAAGAACTTCACCGTGAGCCTTCTTCAGACGGGCGATGCGCTGAGCGACTGTCCAGAATTTAGATTTGGCGATAACCTCATCTGGAGCAAAAACCTGAACACGGACTGCTGGTGGGTTGGCGATTTCCTTTGTTGGGTATGGTCTGCCAATGACAAGATACTGCTTAAGAGACATCCTGATAAAAGGACCGGCCACAGCCGATAGAAACCGTTCATGAGAAAACCGCAAAATGCCTTTTTGATCATTTTCTGATTTTGATTTCGGATTTGATATTATTATACATTCTTCTTTCTTTAGCAAAACAAACATGAGAATTATTTGAAATTCGATTTCCACTAATTCTTGTTTAGACTAATTGTTTTTAAATAAGGTAACATAGTATAATAAAATTGTTGCTTCATTTTGTTGATCTAGTATGATTTGTTTTCATATCTAGTTGAATATTGATTAATTTCTTGTTATGTCCTATGAACAGGTATTTTCAGCCATAAAAATGCTATTCATGTGATTGTACCTTTCAAGTATCAATTCAAACATGAGATATCGAATGTGTTTTCAGAATGAAATAATATAAGTAAAAATCTTAACAGACAATAAGTTCTATTGATAGGTATTGATAGACATTTTGGTTGTTGAGATTTGAAAAAGTTCATTAATTTTGAAAGAATAAATAAACAAAACAATTTAATAAATTACTGTGCAGCTTGTTCGCATGCATTACGAAGAGCAGATAAGATATTTTCGTTTGTTGGAAGTCCGATATCAATTCCAAATTCACTAAAAACATTTGCAACTTTGAATGCAAACTGTTCCTCGTTCTCTTCTTCCTCTTCTTCAACTCCAAAATATTCTGCAGCATCTGCAAGCATCTTTTCTTGTCTATCTCTGAGAGATTGGATCAAGAAACAGTAGTTTTCATCACTGAATTCCTCTTCTTCATCATTTTCGCTATTGTTTTCATCTGAATTCTGTTCGTTTTTGTATTCAACATTATAATCTTTGCAAATTTGTTCAAATTCTTCATCTGATGGAGGAGGATATGTAGCAATCCATCCAGCATTGATAAGATCTCGTGTAAAAGGTGGATATTGTTCAGCACGCTCAATAACTGACTGTGGAATTAAAGTTCCTGAAACAGAAGATAAAGCTTCTCCGAAAAGTAGATATAAAGTAAGTTTAAGTGTTTTTTCTTTTGATACAGGTGTATTTTTAATGCTAATTTTAGTTAAGGAAGGCATATTTAAAAAATTCTTGAAATTTGCAATTTCTGTGTTGTCTGCAATAAATGTTGTAACGTTTGGTAATAATGGCATATTTTCAGCTGACTTAAAATCTGTTCTTGATAGGTTAAACGTTTTTATTAAATTTGAACTTTTCTTAAACTCAGGTAGAGTGAAAACTGTTTCAATAGGAAATTTTTGTGAATGAAAAGAAAGTTCTCCTGTCTTATGCATGAGCTTGATTCGCATCTTGATAATATCAGCTGAAGAATTCATTTTTATTTGTCACTTTTTCAGCGCCAAATTTCTCCATCTCTGATAATAGGACTGTCATACAATTTAAATCCGAAAAACTCTATCATTCTTGATGGTTGTATCTATTTGATCTAATCCAGCATATTTAATGCTAGATTGTTACTATTGATTTCATATTGTATCGAAATAATGGCAATATGCATATAATATTATAGGATATTAATCATAAACTACTATGCATGACTATCTGTAGATTTGATCATTCGAAATGAACTTGATTTTTCTTTCCGGAATATTTGAATAGATAAGATACCTTTTGTCATTGTCTCATTTTCAAGAAACACTATTTTGGTGCATTTCGGTACTAAGATAATGCTGAAATTGCAATATTTATTTCCTGTATTGAAAATCTATGAATATCAATATGATTTCAGAAGGTGTTTCAAGAGTATACTTCCCATACATTGCAAATGTACATTGCATTTAAGAAAAAACAGCTAATAAAAATTGGTGAAGAAAGAAATATGATTTATCCATAAAAATTCAAATAGATTTGGAATAAAGAGAGAATAAAGCATCAACAAATGATTCTACTCTTAAGATATTTGACTGATTCAAACGATCGGTAATTCCAAAAATGATGACGTTTGACAATATCAAACCTCACAATTATTTGAGACGGATAGGAATAATTAATGGAAATTAAAAGTCGATTTCTTGAAGATATGAAATCTATTTGAGATATTTAGCATATGATATTTGTTAATAAAATTTTGGATCAAAAATTGAGACTATTTTCAATATTTTGGATCACAAAATAATTTGATACTTTTGTTTATCTTCTGGAATACAATGAAAAATAATTTTTAGTAATTAACAAAAAACTGACACCTCAAAAAATATGGAATTCTCAGCAAAACGTGCCTGGCTCATTATTGCTAGTTTAGCTGCTGCAGTAGGTTATGTATTAATAGTTCTTTTAAGAGCTGAAGCCAAATATAAAGCTTATCTCGCAATTATTGCTATAATAGTAAACATGATGATAAAATTTAGTTCTTTCTCATTCCAAGGATGCTACGAAAAGATGGCGATATCAGGAGAAGTCCAGCAATTCCGCTGGCTGCTGATAACAATCATTGTCGTAAATTTATTTGTCTCAGTTCTCAAATACTTCCCTCAGTACGAGCCGCTGTTCCTCAGGAACCTCCACCAAGGGTATTTCGACCAGTCACAGCCCGTCGGAGTGAAGACAATCGTCGGTTCCCTGATCTTCGGAGTCGGAATGCAGCTTTCTTCCGGCTGCATACTTGGCATGTTCACAGGAATCGGAGATGGTTCCCCGAGGTCATTCATCGCAATCGCGACTTGCATTGTCGGATCTACAGTTGGAACTTTGGATTCTGTCTACTCCTGGTATACAGGACTCCAGAGGAGCACTAAGCCAATGAAGATACACTTCGGTATCATGCTCGCGATACTTATTGGATTAATCCTGATAACTTTCGCGGCAGAACGCATCGTAATGGGTTACAAGAAGACATATGAAGCCCCTGTCAACCTTCTCCTCAACGAAAACATTGAAAAACCAAGTCATATCAAGGAAATTATTCTTAAGGTCGTTCAAGTCGGAACCGCACTTATTGCAGGGGGTGGCCTTGGTGTCTTCTACCTTTTGTACGGATCGATGGTGAATTTGGAGGAAGGAATACCTGTATTCGGTGCAAGGATTCTTCAGGTCTGCGGATTGCATCCGGAGTCTTGGTTGTACTTCAGCGGAAAGGTAATCCCTGAGAATCTCCTCTCAAACACTTCGATCATCGTAAATATCGGACTGATTATCGGTTCTTTCATCGCAAGTACGATAATGGGAACCTTCGGAAATGTCGAGAAATCGGATGCCGTGGCCTGTATCAAAGGAGCGATTGGAGGATTCTTAGTTGGCTTATCTTCTCGAATTTCGAATGGTTGCACCGTCAGCATTGTTATAGGAGGCATGGCCTCATCTTCAATGCACGGAATCTTGTGGCTAGTTGGCTCTATTATCGGTTGCTTCGCAACATTGAAATTAACTCAGTTAGTTACGATGAAGAAGAAGACTTCTGATGACGTAGCCGCTTACGCTGTTATCCCGTGAACAAGTTTATCATTATGTTTGTTTTATATGTAAAAAAATTTACATTTTCGTTAATTATGGGTTTTTGTGTTGAGTTTTTTGTTTTAACTGTTTTACAGTTGTCTAAGTTGTAACTTTCAAAGGGAAAATATTTGTAATCGTTGAAAATTTTGAAATTTGCGATTTTAAAAAATCGAAAAGATACTGCAATTTTGGGCTTGTTGAAGCTATCTAATGAAAACAAATGCACCTGGAGCAGCAGAAAGCTGTGATATTCTTACTAACGCTCCCTTTTAGCAACGAGTACCAATGACGGCAGTTGGCATCATACTTGCACTCACAATTTTGAAAGAAATGATTTAAGACAAAAGTTAATCAGTACATAATGTATATTAATATTATCCCAAATTTTAAAAAAATTATTTCATTCAAAATTTTTAATATTTTCTTTTGGCTTGATTTCAATGTGATTACTATTTACTGGATATGTATTAATAAAATTTAACTTCAGATTCAAATTTTAAATTGATCTCGATAATTTTCATAAAATCAATCAGAAAAACATATATGGCTCACTATGATCTTATTTCGTAGATCAAAAAAATTGATGACGCTTAAAAGATTTCCATGATTTTAAATTCAAATAGGAGCAATCATTAAATTAACTCCTTTTACCATTAAAACAGACCATAACATCACTATGTAAGAAACATATCTTATTGTACTAAAGCTCATTTCCCAGATATGTCTAATGAAAAACTGGATGGACTCCTCTTCACTGTGCATCAAAAAAATTCTTCAAAATTTGAACCTCTAAAAGTACTTTTTTCCCTATGATTGAAATGATATTTTGCTGAATAAACATTATGAAAGCAGATATTCGTCATTATTTGTCTTTCTGCTATTTCAGAAATAATAATTGATATCCCATGGAAGATCAAAGTAAAAGTAAGACAGAAACTACTTAAAAGTTTTATGTACAAAAATACAGTAAATAATGTGAAGAAAATTCTATAAAAACTTTAAAACTAATCAACAAAAATAAAAATAATATAATAACTCAAGATCCAACAGGCATTGCTGCTTCTTCTAAGATCTGGAAGACAGGAATATCTCCCTGGAAAGCAGCATATCCTAAAACAAGTTTTTGTCTGTCACCTTTTTCGACTTCTTTTGACAGTTTATTAATTCTTTCTGCAACTTCATCTCTTTTGAGATAAGGATCCAATCTCTTCTTGAGAAGCATCTCTACACTACCAAGTTTATCAGGTGTGTTCTCAGGAAGGTCTTCGCCAAGCAAACAATGCCTCCAAATGCTCAAATTTTCTTTTAATCTATCGTCACTTTTTTCTAAAAGTGACAAACAGACTGACCAATCAGGAATCAATTGTATTGGGACATTGAAGACCTTTCTGTTTGATTTATATACTCTTTCTATGAAATTAATGTCTCCTGCGAACAAGTTTGGAACTGCTGCTGCAATTCCAGCCGCGCATTGGTCATCCATGAAGTTTTCCATGCAGAACTTCCATAATGCGGCTGATGTATTGTAGCAGCCTCTTCTGAAACAGAATGTAGCAATGTAAGCAGCGAGATTTTGGAATGCACCTGCAGCTTCACCGACAAAGATAGTTTTTGTAGGTTTAAAGTTGGTAGGTAGTGTTTGCTGAAGGATCCAAGTTAATCTGAGAGCTAAATCTGTTGCAACATTAAATTCACGTTGGAATAAGGCAACATTGCATGCTGGATAGAGTAATTGAGGGCAGAATGGCTCGATTGGAAGTATTTGTAAGGCATCTTGGATGATTGATCCTTGTACTCTGAGTTCTTCGAGTTTTGCAAATTGTTTCTTGCAAGACAAGCCGTATTCAGTAAATGTGACCTCAAATTTATCTCCAGGGAGTTCTCTGACTCTGTATGATGAAGAAACAACGCTTGGCCACTCACGTCTTCTGTTGATAAATTTGTTATAAGGAGCACTTTTTGGAATTTTTGCGGCATCTGCGAATGCTTGCTCATCGTATCGATCTATAAGCTCTTGTGCCACATTGAATTTCAAACGATCGTTTATTTCGCGCTTTGGTGCATTATGTGTTTCTCTCTTCTTCTGTTGTTGCATAAGTTCCATAAATTCAGCATCAATGTCTTTCTCTTTTGGCTCATCTTGTTTTGGTTTCGAAGGAGGTGGTGGTGGAGTATTCTGAATTACTGGGGCTGGAGGAATATAAATTTCCTTTTTCTCCTCGCCTTCGTCATCTTCCTCACCTCCCTCGTAATCTGAGCTTGACATTAATGCAGCAAATGGATTATCATCGTCAGATGAACTCATTTTTTTTTAGGGGGGATATTTTCACGGGGAAATAAACCAATAAAACAATGAAAACAAGAGCATTACTTTACTACTTGCAAAATATTCGTGCTTAATTTGTCCTTTCACATGGTTCAAATAACAGCGAAAATTATAAATGGTGAAACAGCTCTTTATAATGCAGTAGATCATATTAGTAAAACAACAATCGATCTTCTTATTTCACATAACGCGGTGGACAAAATGTATCTGAAGAAATTGCATTTATATCATAGCAATTAAAGATTGTAAAGAAACAGTAGAACTCCTTGTTTCACATGGTACAAAATTAATCTTAATAGATTTTACCGTAATAAAAAAAATATGCAAATTCAAAATGTATCATTATAAGTATATATATCTTCAAACAATAATACAGAAATGAAGTCATAACAAATATTAATTATGCAGATATTTCGTAACTCAAAAAAATGTTGAAGTTGTCTTCTTTGTATCACAGGTTTTGTATTATATTTATACTTAACTCTAAAAGTGCCCAATTAAAATACAATTGGCTGAAAAAAAAATATTAAGAAACAAGAAGAAAGCAAAATAAAGTAGTATAATAGTTCAGAATGGATAATTTGAATAAGCAAGTGTTGCATGGACTGATTGGGATGAAATGGATGATCGATCGATCTGCAGGTGAATCTCGAAACAAATTATCAGGATTGATATAAACTCTAGATTCATGATTCTGGATTTCAATGTATTCAATAGCATTACATACAGTAAAGAAATAGTTTTGAATCGTGCGAACTGTTGGTGGAAATCTGACATATTTCGTGATGCTATTAAATGCAAATGCAGCAATCCAAATAAGTTCAACGCCATTAGGAACTACAATGTATTTCTCGTTTCGGTTTGGAGGCCAATAATACAAAATGGTCTGATCTTTTGAAAACAAAACTCCATCGATATCTTTGAAATTTCGATTTAAATCGGATACTTTAATACTCTTTATAGTATAAAGAACATCGAATGATTGAAGAGGAGAAACTTCCTGAAGCGAAGATGGTAAATAGACATTTTCAACTTTTGTTTGAAAGAATACATCATTACCTATTTTCAATAAGGCGTCATTAAATGAAACATTGACTAAATTCGTGAAGTGTTGGAATGCTAAATCAGCAATATTATCAAATCCATACGTACTGTGTGCAAAGTTCGTTGTCATATATGTAAAGAATGTTTGGATTAGAAAAACAGCTGTGAGAAAGGTATCTTATTCCTCTTCCTACAATAACAGAGCTGAGATTAGAAATATTGTAAAAGTATGTATCAGTATATGTAATAGACATATTTCTATTTGTTGTAAAGATGTATAATGATTGATTTACTTCATAATAAGTGGAATAGTATTCTTGATGAATATAATTAATGTAAATTGGTTTGCTTATGCCAACAAATGCATACTCACCTTTTTCAAATGTTGAATCGGCTTGATTATCGTATCGAAATATTGAAATATTAATATAGGGTAAATTTGGAGTTGGTGATGCATACATTATGTTGTAAACTTGCGTAACTGTTTGAGGAATCAATAAATGTTGCAAAAAACATATATTATTCGTAGAGGAGTCAAAAAAACTAGTTACACCATACGGGACAGAATATATTGGAGATTTTTTCGCCGAAGGATATGTCATTAATGTCGTAAAATTCCTATCATAAAGTACGCCATCAAGAACTGAAAAATATTGATGATTTGGATCTATTGTAAACTCTTCAAGTGTATATTGCCAATCAAATGAGCCTTTTGGTGAAATATTTTTCAAATTAAAAGGAATATGAAAAGTTTTAAGTTTTGTAGAATGAATGACACTATTGCCTATGCTAATAATTGAATCAGGAAGTTCAAGTGTTTCTAGATTAGTATAGTTCCTGAAAGCTTCATCTACAACGTTTAGTACGTCGCCATAAACTAAAACATGAACGGCAGTCGAATTATACTCTGGTGGGCCTTTTACTGTTGGCCCAGAGTTGATGATTAGCGTCGAATTTGATTCTATAAAAGTCCACGTCAAGGTTTAAATGTTAAAAATCTCTCATAAAAAATATTAAAATCTTTTATCGTTTTCTGATTTTTGACGTGTAAATCGACAGATTGCATTGAAAAAAATAGATCTGGATGTCAAGCAAAGAACGCGAGTTCCTTGAGCAAGTCATTCCGATTTTCGCAATTGATATCTTAGATTAACGTTAGTTGTGTATTGGCATAAAAATAGAACTTGATCTTCCATTATTTTCCAAAATTTTGAATCTCAGATGGCGAATAATAACTTTGGACTCACAGTTAGCGTGCATATGCATTAATTTCGTTGATTTGCATATATTTCAGCTTCCTGTTATTAAATTCATCAAAATAACGTAATTTTTGTCAGCAGATGAAGAAATTTCAAATTATAGTAAATGATATGATAAGCATCATGATTTCTGATAGAAATTAGAATTAAAATTACTCGCGCCATTAAATTGAATGCTTTTTCAAACATTTGAAAACTTGCTGCGAAATATAAAGTTTGTTGCTTTCATATTTCTTATTAAGAAGACATAAATATAATATGTGTTATCAAAAGCCGCAATATTTCATCCATTCAAAAATTTTTAATATACCGTAGGTTGAATAGCCCGAGACCAATTTCAAAGGTCGTGTACCAATAAAAAATTTTGAATCAATTTACACAACGTGCCCATTTTACTCACTCAATATTTGAGAAAATAATTCAATTTTGAGAAGAATGGTCCTCTGCGTTTTGAGTGAGTGACGAAAAAAATCTCAGAAAAATTGAATGAGTTTTTATGGCCATGAACCAAATTTGTGAAGTTCCCGTTTAAAAAAAATGCAACCAAGAACACGAATTCCCGAGTTTGCAGAATTAGAAAACTATAAAAATCTTGGGCTATTGACCCAGATGCAACTCGATTTACTCTATCGAAGAGTAAATGGCGAGTCTTATCAACAAATACGGAATGTTTACTCAATTTCAAAGACGACAGTAGCACGCGCAATCATGCGCACTGCTACTTGTCGTTCATGGACAAAAGGTCAGTCAGGGGGTGGTATGACCCATTTGTCACTACCAGATGAAATGCAGTTCAAAAAACTTGTTCAAGAGATGGCAGACGACTTGAACTGTATTACAACATCAATGGCCATTGCTGTCTGTACGGAATTACAAAATAGGAGATTAAAATTTGCGGCGCGGGTACTAATCGCTGCAAGATGCCCGCATCTTCTAGCGAAGCTCGATGATTACTGCCCATCGCCATCCCGTGGCTGGCTTAATCATATCGCCACAAGATTGTCAATTCGGATTGTGAGCTCCCAAACTATTGATATGCTCCGACGCTCTACCTGTGACGCAAACCATATTCGCCACAATCCGAATTACAATTATTTTTGGTTTTATATTTTTTGTGAGCTGCATAATGGAGTGAGGAAGCATCTTGATGAAGAGAGGAAGCACCTTGATCAAGAGAGGAAGTACTTTGAAGAAGAGAGGAATCACTTTGTTGAAGAGAGGAAGCATCTTGATCAAGAGAGGAAGCACCTTGATGAAGAGAGGAAGCTGCATGATGGATGCATGATGGAGTGAGGAAGCATCTTGATGAAGAGAGGAAGCGTAAGAACCGATAACATTTACAAAATATTAAATTTATTTTGTAAATTTTCCAAAAGCCTTAGTACCAATGTAATATAAATGCTCCAAAAATACCATCCCTCCTTCCAAAAGCGTAAGAACCGATAACATTTACAAAATATTAAATTTATTTTGTAAATTTTCCAAAAGCCTTAGTACCAATGTAATATAAATGCTCCAAAAATACCATCCCTCCTTCCAAAAGCGTAAGAACCGATAACATTTACAAAATATTAAATTTATTTTGTAAATTTTCCAAAAGCCTTAGTACCAATGTAATATAAATGCTCCAAAAATACCATCCCTCCTTCCAAAAGCGTAAGAACCGATAACATTTACAAAATATTAAATTTATTTTGTAAATTTTCCAAAAGCCTTAGTACCAATGTAATATAAATGCTCCAAAATACCATCCCTCCTTCAAAAGCGTAAGAACCGATAACATTTACAAAATATTAAATTTATTTTGTAAATTTTCCAAAAGCCTTAGTACCAATGTAATATAAATGCTCCAAAAATACCATCCCTCCTTCCAAAAGCGTAAGAACCGATAACATTTACAAAATATTAAATTTATTTTGTAAATTTTCCAAAAGCCTTAGTACCAATATAATATAAATGCACTAAAAACCCAAATGCCAATAGCATGTATTCAAAAAATGCAATTCAATACAAATTTGATTGCATTTTTTGAGATGGAAGTGTATCTGAATTCACAATTGTAATCCACGAATACACTTCCATCTCATTGATAAGAGGCTAATGTTTTTCTCATTAATAAGGCGCTGTTGGCCTCTATCCATAGCCGAAGTGATATTAACGTATGTTAACGTACAAAGTAAAAACATGTTTTTTCTTTTTAAAATCATTTAGTAATTAATAATATTTAGCACTCATAGTAAAAACATTAAAATTTATAAGAATCGTTATGAAGAAAAATTGAGAACTTATGATTTTTATTTAAGAAAATGATTAAATAATATATAAATAACCATATAAACAACATTTTAGATTCCTCTGAAAAGGGTATCTCAAATTGGTCTATGACCAATTGAATGGTTCGCCGGTTATTCAAGGTACGGTAAAAAGTATTGAAACTAAGTATGTTGAATATAATTTAAAGATCGTAAATATCATAAAATTTTATTAATAATAAAAGGTGATTTGTCACTTTTATAAGGCTTTTTGAGTGAATTTCTGCCTTATCTCAAATTTGAAAATACGAAGGAAAATTTTGAGACAGCTCTCAATCATCAGTCTGATAAATTTTGTTCGAATATGTCTCATACTAAACAAATTACGTTCAATAAGTCATGCCCGAGCATCAAGTTTAATGCTGATATTGAACCAAAACCAGTTCCATGGCTTTTCATCGAAACAGGTTATTATCCGAAGAAGAGATCTATGGGTGGAAGACTTACTAGCCAGGTATCCTTGCCACCTAAGCACATGACATTCGGAAACGATTACATGTTTGCTAATTCTACAATACCATTCACTAAACAAGAAATGAATGTCATTAATACTGCAGAGAGAAGGCAAGACGTAGAAATTGAAATGCATAATGACGTTTCCAGAGTCAATTTAGCCAAACAAATCAATGCGCAGTCCAAAATTGAATTTGAAACGTTATTACAAAGGCAACAAGAAGAAGCGAATTTAAAGAAGAAACAAGCAATGCTATTCAAAGATCCTGAAGGAGAAGAGTTAATTACTGCTAGATCCTCTAGATCTACCGATTCGTTATTGATGGATTCTTCAAGGAACGACGTTGAGGTCAGCAACAATGAAATTGATGATAAAGCGTACATTTCTAAACTAGAAAAGTTTGATGGAGCCCAAGTTAAGAAAATGATTTTCCAATCAATCACTCCAGCAACTAGAATCAGAGGTTCGCATTTTTCGAAATCAGAGTTCTCATTCGGTAAAAATGATCAGTTAGAGAAAAGAGTGTCTGGTGGAATGAGGAACATTCAGAGAGCTATTACTTCGATGGCCGATCCTAACGAATATAATGTGGCTAAGAAATTAGACTCATTCCCTGATCCACGTGACAGTAATTTACCATCAATTAATAGAATGAATAAGTTTTACGCAAACTGTTAAATTGTCCATGAACCCTACAACTTATAAGTTCTATTTTTAATATAACTTGATATTTTAGTGATTGTTGTTGATCAATGAAATTTGTTCTAAATTTATTGTTTGTTTTTGACTTAATTTATGATTTTTATTTGTATTTTTATAAATAGCACAATATTCTTCCATTAATTAAGAATGTTGACAGATCAAAATTAAAATTTGAAGTGAAATTTCTTGAAAAAATCGAATCTTGTAAGATAGAATTAGATTTATTACAAAACATAGTATTTCAAAAATAGTTATTATAGAGAATCTTCATCATATACCAATCTCTGGAGGTGAATTACTGTTCTTTCGTCATCAAAAGTATCAGGACGTCTGAGAGATATTGATGTTGATTTTGACATCAATTCTGGAGGTGGACGGCGCAAATAAATAGGCAATTCTCCTTTTACTAACATCGGAAAATTTGCTTGCGTTAATGAACGTTCTATACTGGATAATGTATTTATGGCAGAAGTATAGAAAGGGGTTATCTTTATTTTCGATCTTTTTGACGTTGTTACAAGATTATTTAGTTCGCAATGGGCAGAACATGGATCTATTGAATAAGGAATGAGCAAATCTGGAAGTTTTGGATTTTTAAGAAATTCTTCTTTCTTAGCATCATCTTTTTCATAAGGAGAAATTGCTTTTGTAATGAATTTAACATAGGTTCTATGTATTTGCCCATTTTCAAGTTTTATTGAGTAATAGTCTGATTCGATCATTGATGATGACTTTAAAATCTTGCCTTTAACAATTTTGATTAAATTTGGGTTTGCTGATGGTATAGCAGCAAAAACTTCTGTGTCTTTTGGAAAGATATTATTTTGGGGAGATATATAGCTAAGTAATGGATGAATTTGGTCTTTTGAGCAAATGTATTTTTTATATGGAGGGAAAACATCACTGCAAATATAAATTGATTGGTATATTTCTTTTATAAGTAAGCACAATCTTTGAAACTCACCATAATTTATAATCGAAAATGTACCTAATAAAACCGAATTTGATTTAACTTCTGATGATGACATAATTGGAAGTGGTGTTTCAATAAACTTTTTATAGTTTTCGCTTATCCAATTGCCAAAATCTTTCACGTTTGAATTTAAGGCGATTTCTTGGAGTGATCGAATCTTTTCTTGAATCAAATCATTTTTTCGAGCTGGTAATTTCAAATGGATCTTGTTTATTTTTTCCACTTCAATTTTGATCGCAGAAACCAACTGTGTAGCCTTTTCATTCATATTTCACAAATTAAGTCCTAATTTTTGACTATTTTTGACATTTGACATTACGATAAAATTTACTTTGTCAAATATAACTCTCTACATGCTAAAGGTACATGCACGAGACTTCCCAACGATAGATTTTCAAATAAATAGGATATTTAGAATCAGTAGGCTCCAAATATGAATAATATGATCTTATTTTGAAAAGTTATTAAGATAATAAAAAGATTTGTGAATTATATTTTAATTTCCCTAATTTTTATCAATTAATCATCAAATTATGATTTATATATCAAATGAAAAAAAAAAAAAAAAAAAAAAAAAGTAGTGGGGCTTCCAGGCACTTCGTGCCCTCTAGCCCCGAAGATGTTTAGTATAAATGAAGTTTTTATTCGGAAAATTGTTAGTCTTCTGGTGTGAATTCGGAGGACTCTTCTTCTTCCTCCATTGCTTCTGGGAAGAAGCCTTCTTCTGGGTCGAAAACATTATATAATGTGTCGCTTTTCACAAATTATATATGTTTTCATGTTTTGTCACTTTTCTGTCACTTTTCAGGAAAAAAACATTTTTATTATTATATATAAATGAATTTTACAAAACCACCGTTACCGTTCTTTGGAAATAAGAGTAAATGTAAAGATATTATATTGAGAGAACTTAAGAAACTACCGAATGGTCTAACATTTGTAGATTTGTTCGGTGGAAGTTTCTATATATCCCATTTGTGCCATATAATATTCCCAGACTCAAAGATTATATGCAATGACTTCGACAACTATATGGACCGTCTCAAACATATACCAGACACAAACAAAATATTGAGTGAGTTAAAAGAAAAGATACCTATAGGTAAGATGGAACGTATACCATTAGATAACAAAAATATTGTGAGAGAGGTTTTGAAAAAAGCAGAATATATAGACTGGGATAGTATATCTGCTAGACTATTATATAGTGGTGCTATAAGAGTTCATGACATTGAAACACTTATGTCAAAAGTTTTATATCTTAACTATACAAATGTTTTCAAAGAGGACATAGAAAAATATATTGAGGGTATAGAGTTTGTGAGATGTCATTGGACAGATTTGTATGAAAAATATAAAGACAAGGAAAATGTTTTCTTTATAGTGGACCCGCCGTTCTATAACACATGGGATTTTCAATACCAAGTAGACTGGACTTTGAGAGACTCTTTAGAAACTTTAGACGTTTTACATAACCATCCATGCTTTTACTTTACATCCGATAAAAGTGGTTTGGAAACCGTTATGAGATGGTTAGAGGACATACATGACTATGAGTTTATATATGACAAGATAGAATATGAGAGAGGTCCTATAAACTGGAGAAAGTGTCACAATAAAGAAATTTTATTAGTAAGTAAATGTGGTTTGAAATCGGACTACTTGTTTTAGGTTTTTTCCATTGTGTCATTTATTTCTTTGACGTGGCAGAAAAGTACAGAGAATATGAAGATGAACCAATGCCTGCAAATGTTCAGCATATGTACTCGTAAGAGATATTTTTATCTAATATTAAATGGACGCACAGAACTTAGCGAATGCACAGCAACCTGGACAACCAAACCCAGAGAATATTCCAAATGAAGTTAGAATACAAACTGCAATGGCAAACTATGGTCAAGTGCCAACAGATGTACAAATGCAAACTGCCATGTCAAATGACGCTGCGTTAGGTTTGCCACCATGGTATGCAAATATGAGATGGAAAGAGTTTTATACAAACCCTGAAGTGGGATATAAACAACTTTATGCAGATGACGCGAACACAGGAGTTGACCCAGAATATGTTTTCTACCAGAGGAGAAACAGAATGTATGAGCTCCAGTTAAAGAATGCTATGGAACTCAACAGGAAACGCAAAAGACTAGGCGGACATTAGATTTTTACATATAGTAAAATGGGTTTCTTCAGTAAGATAGGAAACTTCTTTCGAAATGTTGGAAGAGGTATATGGAATGGAATAAAAACCGTAGGAAGAGGAATTTGGAACGGAGTCAAAAATATTGGTAAAAGGGTAGGTCAGTTTGTTGGTATTATACCTAAAGACCCTGAACCAGAAGAGCAAGCTCCTGTTATACAACAGCCTGAACCTGCACCACAGTCTAGTTGGCAACCAAATCCAACACCTCAACCGTATTAAAAAGTTATATTTTTACCGTTCGATAGTAGTTGTATATGAAACTAAGTTCTAAGTAAAACGCATGGTATAATGGAATTATTCTTTTTCTTCCATCTGTAGTAAACCATACTTGAAAGTCTGAAATACTTCCACTTGTGGTTCGTATAACTTTGTAGGTTTTTCGTAAAAATCATTTGCCAAGCATAAGAAAGAGTTTTGGGCGCCAGAAAATGAAGCATGAACAATAATAGCAGCTGGGTCGAAAACATCTTTAAAAAATATGGTTCATCTCTTGCATATCGACTGTAAATATTTGCTAAAGGAAGTTCGACTTTCTGATTTAATTCTTTGCAAATAATACCATGACATTGCAGTGAATTCTGTATATATTTGTTCGTCTTTCTTTGGATTGTCTTCGTAGATTTGAAATGACACTTGTGAATTTGTTTGTCATATACAATTCTCACATAAAGTGTGCTCTCGGTATTTGCATATTCATCAGCATATTTTGCATAACATGAATTTATTTTATCTTCTATATTTTTTAACGCAGTCTGTAGAGAAGATGAAAGGTCAACTTGTATTAGCTCAATTTCTTCCCACATTTTTCGTTTCCCTTCAGATATATAATCTATATGAAACCTTACAATAAATGGAAAACTTTTATCTTCTACAGACACAAACTTCATTCTACGAAAGCCAATAGCTTTTGTGACAGATGGGTCTCTTAGCCATCTTAATGGGTAGTCAAAACGATAGCCTTCATGCTTTACGGTCTCTGTCTCAAACTTTTGACCGACATTAGTAAAAAGTTCATCTAATGGTTTAGTTGTAGCAACTCTTGAATTTTCTTTTTCTATTGGAAGCATATTTTATCTAGAATAAAAATGTCAAATGAAACAGCGTCTATGAGAGAAATACAACACAACCGACAACTCATTATACAAGCTCTAAATAAGAAACACAACAAACTTTTCAAACTATTCTAAGATATCTGAGTCATTGAAAGAAGGAAACTTAAAACTGACATTAAACCCAATGACAGATGAGTTTCTGTTTCAAGACAATAAGAACCATACTGTCTGTATAAATCCAACAAAAGGAACTTTAAACGAGAAACCTATAAATGAACTTCTTTTGAAAACAGATGTTGACAACAAAGCTGACAAAGAATATGTAGACGATGCAATAGCAAAAGAAGAAGAAAGAGCTAACAATGCTTATGCAACAAAAGAACATACTCATCCTGAACTAGCAGACAAAACATATGTTGACAATAAAATGTCAAGTGAAGTGACAAGAGCTGAAAACGAATATTCTAAAAAGACTCATACACATTCTATATCTGAAATAACAGACTTACAAGAAACCTTAAACAGTAAAAGTGCCGTTGGACATACACATACCATTGCAAATATTACAAACTTACAAGAAACCTTAAACAGTAAAAGTGACGTTGGACATACACATACCATTGCAAATATTACAAACTTACAAGAAACCTTAAACAGGAAAAGTGACGTTGGACATACACATACATCTTCTGAAATAACAGACTTAAACGTTAGCCTTGAAAAGAAAGCAGATAAAACATATGTCAATGAAATATACCAAAGTTTGATAGGAACAACGAAAAATATTGAAACTATTGTTGGTGACTTTTCTGTCAATGAAGAAAACAAATATTTTAGATGGGAGTTTGTACACTCCTTAAAAAATGGTATACGGTATAAACTCATTCCGAAAAATAACAATGAAATGTATGTAGGCTATATAAAGAATAATGGTACACAAGTTAAAGTTCCATTAGACAACAACTGCTACTTAAACTTATATGGAGACGAACAAAAGAAATATTTAAGAGTTTATGAAATGACAGATATGACATTGCCTGACCCAGCTCCAGCACCATATTATTATGACTATGGTGTTGACGCACATGTAGACCCAAAAAAGCAAACATTATATTTAGAATATTATAGATATAAAAGATATAATGCAATAGAAAAAACGAGAATAGTATACTATTATGAAGATGACAGAAATAAATATTATAGTCAAGACTGTACCTACCCTGAAAACATAAGATTATATTATAAAAAATATTCTGACACAAACCAGAAGAAACCAGAAATAGTTACACTATATTTTAAGTTCAAAAGAGACAATCCTATAATGTCTCATATGTTTGATTTAATGAACCCAGTAGGTTCTATTTATACATCTATGGAAGCAAGAGGTCCTCAAGTAATGTTTGGTGTTGGGGCATGGGAACAAATAGTCGACAGGTTTTTGTATTGTGCAAACTCTTCAAAGGAAACAGGTGGAAGTAAAACGATTTCAGGTGAAAATTTACCTGCACATAGTCACTACATAGATTTAAGTACATCTCAAGCAGGTTGGCATAAGCATAGATATTGGGATTGGTCAGGAATGACAAAAGGTAAAGGATATGATGTTAAAGACAACGTTAAGTTTGCTATAAATTGTTACTGGAGTGACACTCAGGGAGAAGGAAACCATACACATTTCGTTTCAGGATATACGCAAACAACGGGACAAAGTAAAGAATACATGCCACCTTACATGACAGTTTACGCATGGTATAGAATTGCTTAGTCGTCATTTTCAACTTCTTTAGCATATTCGTCAGGAGTTGTCTTATATTTGTTAGGAACTGTCTTTGAAAGTATACCACCTTGAACTTTGACAAGTTTGAAACGAGGTCTGACAATAGTAGTTTTATCTTCTGCTTGCAGTCTGTACATTTTGCCATGTTTGCCTAAAACTTCATAATATTCTCTTGTATACTTTCTTCTATTTTTACGAACACGAATGTGAGTACCTGTCGGGTTCCCATTGTTGTCATAGTCAATAGTATTTTCATATGGGTCGCGTTTAGGTATTTCTATTTTTACTTTGTCACCTTTCTGAAGTTTGAAGCCCGGCATTCTTTCTTGTTTGTCTCTTTTGACTAAATTATTAAATATATAGTCTTTCTCTAAGTCAGGGTTGTTTTTCATTTCTTCGGGGGAGTGGTTTCCCAAACCTTTTTGTTTACGGCTATTGTAAATATTTAAAACTTGTCTCATCTTTGCCATGGAGAAGTGTCTATATTTGTCGTCATATGACATTTCATTTGCTTCACCACCTTGTGGTTGGTTTAAGTCTCTTAACATTTTTATACATCCGTCAATGACACCAAGAGCAGAATGGTTTTGGTCGACAATGAAATATTGGTTTACATTTTTTGAACGCAGATAGTTTTTTACATCATCTGATTTGAAAGAACTTTCACAGTCAGATGTCAGTTTTGTTGGATGGTATTTGTCAACGAATATTGTCAAAGCAGTTTTCACATCTAAAATATTTTTGGACCATAATGGTATGGCTTCACAGTATCTTGTGTTTTGACCGACAAATATTAGCCAGTATGGTGGTCCATCTTCTCTATACCTCGGAATGTTTTCCAAGATATCCATAAACCAAGCATTTGGTGTTGAACTAAAGATTTTTACCATGAGTGCTTTCTTTGTCGCTTTAGAAACATAGGGGTCCTTGTTTGGATTCGTCATTTTTTAACCCATAAGAAAATGGGTTTTATTTGGCGCATTAGCAGGAGTTGCATCCAGATTTTTGCCGCAGTTGGAACAATAGCCAGAGGTGTATTTGGAGTTGGAAGGAAGATTTTGAGTACATTAGGTATACTGAAAGAGAAAGCACAACCTATTATACAAACTGTACAGAAAGGTTGGGATGTAGCACGAGATGCAACAAATCTTATTCCAAATCCTGAAACAAGAGGAAAAGTTCAAGGATGGATGGACAATGTAGGAAGACAAGCAGGAAACTATTATAACAAAGCAAATGACTACTATAACCAAGCAGGACACTATATGGACCAAGGTGAAAGATTCTTTAACAGAGGATATAACCATGCACAACAATGGGTAAACAATAACCAACCTCAACCGCCTCAAACGTGGGGAATGTAAAGTTTTTTACTGAGATGAAATGAACAATACAGCATTGAGACAAATGGGTTCAAGATGGATTTGTCGGCTTCCAGCAGTTACACAACGTGTTTGTCAAGTTCTTCCTATACCTCAGGAAGTTTTAGACCGACTTAAAAAACCTAAACAACCAGTTGAAAACAAACCAAACTAAAATTTTTTACTGAGATGAAATGACCGAAGAAGTTGAAACGGTATTTGACACCACAAACAAAAAGTTCAGAACCATTGTCAAAACCTGTCAAAGAACTTACAGATGAAGAGAAAAATTCAATAATAGAAAGTGCCAGGTCTGGAAATACAAACCCTAACTACAAAGTCACTTTTCATAGAAATGGAACGGCTAGTATCTCAAAAAAGAAACAGACTCTCACAAATAAAATATTGAAGTCTGAAGGAGCTTTCGAGACAACAGATGGAAAAGTTTACTTCACTGACCAAACAGTTCATTATAGAACATCTCATTGACTTAGAGTCGAAATATTCTAAACTTTACAACAAACACAAAAAGTTGAAAGGAAAACAAAAACAAATGGCATATGATATTTATGAAGATGTTGACGACACAACTGTTCCTGCAGGTGAGGTAAAGTCAGAGGAACCGAAAAGTGACGAAAAACCGATAGAAGAAGAAAAACCAAAAACTGAAGATAAACCAAAACCAAAGTTTAGTTTCCAAACTAAACCAAGTCAACCTTCATTAGCTGGTATGGGTTGGCGTCAAAGACTTATGGCAGCAGGCGGTTATGTTAAGTAAAGAAAAAAACATTTTTTTTATTTTATAAAAATGCCCCATATAGAATGGATAGAAAGTCTGCTAGAATAAAAGCAGAGTTACAAAGATATGGTTGGAGAGTTTCGAAGAATTTTAAATATAGGAAGGGAAGACCCATAAAAGTCTATGACAAACTGGCTGGTCTTCGCTACGAAATGGATTTGGAAACAGCACGTGCAAATTATCCAAACAGACTAGAGAGGTTAGAAGAAGAACGTCTTATGGACATGCCTTTCGATGTTAGTGAACCTCAAGTTGAAGGACACGACGGCTTTGCCAGATTCTACTGGAAACATGACGAACAATTGCATCCTTTGAGAAGGAAAAAAGGTAGTGCAGAGGATGGTCATGCTCCCATGGAAAGAACAAGATATGCATATGAAAAGTATCGTGAAGTTAGAAGTCAAATTACATCTGGTCGAACCTTTACAGTAAACTTTGACGAAGGAAAGAGAAGGCTTCATGGTGTACTTGCTGCCATACAAGACGGAAATAAGAAAGGATACAATCTCAGATTGACCATAACAGATTTGGATGGTCACATTTACTATGCAAATGGCAATGAACAAACAGCTGCAAAACTTCTTGACGCTTTCAAGACTACAAAGAGAGAACAAATGTTTGACTCCGACTCAGACATTTTGAATGCAATTGAAGGAATTGCAAGTGTCAAGTTCGAATGGTACCAACCTAACCCTCAAGCAGTCAGACAACATGCTGGATACTTCCCGTTCATAAATAAGTCTGACATTGACTTGACAAGGTATGGAATTTACAATTCAATTGAAACAATTGTCAATGAACCTTGCATTCTTACATGTCTCAGGAACTCTGGTCTTGTTACAGATGAGAAGATGAAGTATCTTGAGTCATGTGTGAAGACAAGGTACATTCTCAGAGGTCAATTGGCAAAAATTGCACCGTTGGCAAATGTCAATATCCGAGTCAACATACCTACAGCTAAAGGTTCTTCACATGACGACTATGTTGTTGATTCAATTTACCATGGTTGAAGATTGCAATGTCCACAACCACTTCATGCTGAACGAAAGTCTTACAAACCATTGTTCGGAAAAGGCAAGTGCAACATTGTCAGAGCTGTAAACATTCTTTTCGAGAAAGGTTTGTTGGAACCAATTCCAGATGACAAGCTGACAGAAACTTTTGTACCAAAAGACGAAACAAACTTTTCATTGTTAGGCAAGACCAAAAGTTGTTCCAGACAAAGTTCTAGTACAAAAGAAGTACACAATTCCAAAAGGAGTTGGATTGTTCGGATACCAACCTGAACCAGAAGAACTTCCAATGAGGTTGCAAGAACTTCAAGATGCTATAAACAAACTTCCATTGAGACATCCAATTGACGTCAAATTGTATTGGAGAGCATCTGAGTTAGGTCAGAAGGTTTTATATGAAACAGGTTGCTTCGACGATGTTTATGAGATAACAGGAGAAGTTTCTCAGAAGATAAGAGACTCACTTGAATTTCCACAAACTGGACCAATTGGTTGCGACAAGTTCGACTCAGATGAAAAGAATATATACTATGTCGACCTTAACGCTGCATACATGAGGTTTGTCAATATATTCCGACTGGAATTCCAAACGAAGATGTGAGTTCCCGGGAAGGAACTATACAGTTGGAAAAGTCATACAACAACTGTATGATATTAGGAAAGCTTCAAACCCCAAACTTGCAATGACACTCAAATTGCTTATGAATTCGACATGGGGATATTCCATTAAAAACCTCAAGAGATGAAGAGTAAACATTATGAGAAGGTCGACAACTTTGTTGAAAGGTTTTCTCCTTTTGTTTTGAAGTACGAATTCACTCAAGGTCAAAGTGGCTTAGTAACCACATTAAAACCTATTGTCGAACATTGGTCTTACCCTCAGTTCGCAAAGGCAGTCCTTGACAACTACAACAAATTCTTCTCCGAAGTCAAATCGAAAGTTGTGGTTACTATGAGAAATTGACGCACTCATGACGAAACGAAGAAGGATACAACAAACTCATTGAAATGGGAATGGTCGGTGAAAAATGGGCTGTTTTAAGCTAGATAAAGGTATTTTCTGAAGTTCATGTCCTCTCCAAGCGTAAGTACTGGGCATACTTGAAGACGGCACAGAAATAAAACATTGCATGAAATAAAAAATTTATTTGAAATGTACGCTGAGTTTGTTGGAGAAGACCGTTGGGAAACTTGTTTGTTAGATGAGAAATATGAAATGGCATACTATTTTTAAAACAATATATTTTTACATATATTAAATGCTTCAGGTTGAAAAACAAAGAACAAAAAGTAGCAGATACAAAACCGTTAGACTATATCTTTACAAATGCTGGTAGGACAATATCAGATGAAGAAATTTCATCCCGAGCATACAGGTTTGACTATCCAATTCGTTGGCTTCAAAGTCCTTCAGATGCAAAGGCAATAGGATTTAGAAGAGTTTTTTTTTCAAATAGACTAACGCATTTATGTTCGCAGTATATTTTCATGGGCAGTATAAAAGGTTCTGATGGTCTAATAGACAAATTTGACGAAATGAGAATCTTTACAGTTCGTTCAGACGAAAGTCTTGAGAAAACTCTAAATGACTTTCAAACTCAAATGAACAAATATTATTGGGAATTCAAGAAAAATACGACTCTTTACTAAATGGAACATACTATCTGAAACTAGAATATGACAAGATGAACTCCACCGTTTCATTTCAAAAGATTGAAATTAACCCTCCAAGAGATACAGAGTTTTTATTTTGGGAAGTAGACAAACGTTCTTGGGCACAATTTCTTCGGTTACTAAACCAGAACGAACCATTACCACCAGATGGTCCATTTAAATTTATACTTCCACAGCAGATTTGACAGTTTATAGAAACGTGTTTGACCCTCAAAATGTTATGTGTCATGCAAGTTTCAGTTCAAGCAACAATAGTTTTCTATGTATTGGTAAGGGACTTTTATGACTTTGCTTCTAAATTCTACGAACCACCTAGTAACAGTTTCTCTGACTTTCAAGTTTGGTTCACAACAAATGGTGTGCAACATATTATTCCATTGTACTATGACTTTTATCTCGAATTGTCTTTCATATATAACTACGGAAAAGTGCTGAAAAAGTATTGAAAAATACTTTTAGGTGAAGAGGTGAGATCTCACCTGTTTTTTCACCTTTTTTCTCACCTCTTGAATTTTCATGAATTTTATACAGAAAACATAGCACAAAAATAATGTTTAGGGTAGAAGGTGAGATCTCACCTGTTTTTTCACCTTTTTTCTCACCCGTTGAATTTTGTATTATTCTTCACAAAATGCTTGTTTTGAGGTCGAGCCACTTTTGGCTCCACCGTATTCTTTCAACCAAAACTCATGAATTCAGCAAAAATATAATTTAGGGTAGAAGGTTAGATCTAACCTCTTTTCTACCCTCATTTCTACCCTCTTGAATTTTCATGAATTTTCCCGAAATAAAAATAAAGTTAGTTTTTTAAAAAATATTTTTTATTTTTATTGTAAGAACATGTTAGCAAACAGCACCAAACTCTTTAGTCATGAATCCAACATCTATGTTAGTAGAGATGAAAAGCTTCATTCTTCTTCATATACTTTCGAAACAGAAATCCAGAAGATAAAGCAAGAACTTTTAACAAGTAATTTAGACTGTAGTGCGAAAGATGAAACAAATGAACAGTATCTTTATGAAATGCAGGACCTCATCGACCATTTACCCAAATTGCCTGAAATTCAGCAACAAAAGCTCACTATTCCTGAATTCGACGAAATAGAAGTCAAAGCAACTGACTCAGTAGAAATAAAGAAGTTCATACGAAAGGTAAACTATGAGTTTCTAGGATTTCATTGCAACCATAAGGTTATGGACAAAGATTGCGACATGGTATATAAAATGTTTCTGACATATATAAATCTGGGGAGTTTAAGACCTACGATCAACTTTGTTTCGTTAGTTGCAAAATGTGTATGGCAGATAAGAGATAAAGATAGAAGAGGTAAGGTATGGAATGAACAAATAAGACCCGCTATGTTTGAGATGAAGAGAAGCAATTGACGCTTTAGTTGTTTTAGCTGGTAAGGTTTCAGAATATAACGCAAAGAATGAATCCGCAATGTTTCTAAATGTAAAGCAGCAATGAGGAGATATAACTACTCCGTCAAAGAGATAGAACGTATGAGAAAACGATATGCAGACTTAAAGAAAGATATGTCAAACATTCAGTTTTGAAACAGTTGGAAAGATAGACAATGACACCAAAGTGGTTAGAATAGGTGATTTAAACGTAAGATACTCAAAGAGAATACAACAAATATTCTTTGTCAGACATTTTATCTCCATTTGAAAAGAAACAAACCACTGGGTTAAAATTGCTTCTACTCAGAAAATTTTTGACAAGAATCCTGAGCTTATGATATCGGTAAAATTCTATGGAACTGCAGCATATCTTATAGACAAAAGTCTTATACCAATAGTTTTTGTTATGGTTAGACCCAGTTGTTGGATATAACTTCATAACATATGGTTCATTCAATACGGAACGTTGCAGTGAAGGCTTACTTTACATCGTTCAGAAACCGAAGGACTTCAATACAAAAAGATATAAGATAGGAAGAACATATAATATAACTCTAAGATATGACAGTACAGTCAATAGAGTCAAGGTTGTGTTGGTTAATGATATGAGAGCTGCAGAACAGAACTACTTGAAAAGTTTGAGAAAATGTATGGTGCTCCCATAAAAGGTAAAGAAACGTTTGAAGTAGATGAGATAGATAAAGCTATAAAATTATTTGACGAAGTTGCTGAAATACATGTAAAGCGTTTATTTTTTGGTCTTTTGTGAAAGTCAGAAAATAACGCTAATTTTTTATAAAATATTTTTTTTTATTTTGTATGTAAAGACAGATATGTCAAAACAGAGAACACAACAACAGTTATAGTCCATGAAGCTATAAATGAAGAATATGAGTACATACAGTTTAACAACAACTCCGTCTCATTCGTTCGGTCAAAGACGATATGTACCAAATGCAAAGTATTTTGACAGCATGTTTTGCTCCAGACACTAAACACGCAGACGACTGGTTCAAAAACCAAAGCACACAAGAACTTTTGAGTGAAGCACAGCGAGACCGACTTTTTTCTGAAAACAGTGAAGAACAGCGAGACCGACTTCCTTCGGGGTCGCCTAAAACTCATGAAAACAGTGAAATTTCTCTAGACCGACTTTTATCGGCCTTGCATAAAACACATGAAAATCGTAAAAATTTGCCAATAAATTTAAGAGGTTGGTATGTACATAGACTTCTTGTAAATGCAGTTGCAATGTGGGCTTCTCCTCGTTATGCATGGCATGTTTACATGATGTTAGATGAACTATAATTTTTAGGGCATGTGTCAAACCGTTGAGTTTTCACAAAATTTAAAAAATAACGTTTACCATGTAAAACGTTTATAAAATAACTGGGGTAGAAAAGAGGGTAGAAAGGAGGTTAGATCTAACCTTCTACCCTAAATTATATTTTTATTGAATTCAGCACAAAAATCATGAGTTTCCTTAAGACAGAAAAAATAAAGTTAGTTTTATTTTTATTTATTTTTTATTTTGTATGTAAAGACAGATATGTCAACAACAGAGAACACAACAACAGTTATAGTCCATGAAGCTATAAATGAAGAATACGAGTACATACAGTATAACAAACAGTTACGTCTCATTCGTTCGGTCAAAGACGATATGTACCAAATGCAAAGTATTTGAACGCTCTTCGTTCTACAAAGCAAGCATATCATTGGTTTGAAAACCAACAGACAAAAGAACTTTTAGAAGAATTTCCTCATATGTTTGCTTCCCTCGGAAAACCGAGGGAAGAGATTCCATTCGAAAATCGCAAGAATTTGGCTCCTTGTTTGAAAGGATATTATGTTCATAGACTTTTAGTAAATGCCGTAGCAATGTGGGCTTCACCTCGTTATGCTTGTTATATTTTCATGATGTTAGATGAAATTCATAGACAAGAACGTGAAGATATGGAAAAGAAAACTTCATGCAAAAGATGAAGTCATTGAAGCAAAAGACAAAAATTCAGAAAAGAATACCACGTTCGGTACCAAAAGGAAAGGAAAGAACTATAAGTATATGATTTATACTGAAGAGATGGAAAATGAAGAAGACAGAGATATGGTTATGTTGCATTTAGTCAGAAGAACAAAAAAGCTTTTACGACCTTGCTAAGATTTACAAATCTGACAGAAATTGGTTCTATCGCGAAAACTTACCGATTTCAATGACCCCAAATGAAGATGTGAAACAAATAGTTCAAGATACGTTACCTCAAACACACTATGATATTAAAGGTTGTACAATTCTTACCTTCAAAGAAGATTTGCCATTGTTAAAGGAAAAAAAAGAGTATTTTGACAACTTCAAACAAGCAGAGTAAATGAACTCTTTATTTTTACGCTTGACTTTTTACAATTTGAACTTTGTTCGCGTAGATATGAATTCTGAAAGAAGTATGAGGGTCTTGTATGACTTTATACTTCTCCCATAGTTCATGTCTGTCAAACTTACCTGCCATGGACTCTTTCATAAGTTCCATGAAATCGTCTTCGGCAATCCGGGGAAAAGTATAATGTCAGTCAGTATTCTTTTACATCCTTACTTAAACTCTTTGCTGTCTGTACACATATTACGACTGAAATGTTAAAGTGTCTGAGCTTCTAAGAATTCGACACATATCTTGTTCTCTATTCTTAAGCAAGGATGAGAAGCAAAGTCATCTAAGATAAGAAGACATCTATGAGGGTAAGTCTTCCAATCGTAAGATTGCAATTTCTTCGAAATGTATTCTATCTCTTTCTGTTTGTTTCTGAAGTGTTTTTCTCTAATATTCTCTGCATTTCCTCATTTGGGTCTTTAAACTTAGAATTTATATACTCATTTATAGCATGTACTTCAAAACTCTTCTTTGGTACTTCTTTATCCAATCTAACAACTCAGTATCTTTATACATACTAACTTAGACTTCTTTATAATATCTTTGAACGAATTGACGGTTTGGTCAAATTGACCAGAAGTACTACAAATAACAACTAACTCATAGAATGGGTTCTTCTCATCTTAGTTCTTGTTGTTGTGCAGCCATTTTAAAGATAAGTGAAAGTCTTACCCGACCCAGGTGGTGCAATTAGACCTGTTATACCATTTGAGCAAATAAGACTTGTCATGTATAGGCTTTATCTGAGCATTTTCTAACTTCCTCTTGTTCTTGTTTAAAACATTCTCAAATTTCTTGTCAATGTCAAGCAAACTTTTTTTCTAAATATTTTTAGAAAAATTAAAATTTTTATCTTTTAGAAAATGTCTAGCGATTTCGCTATCTATATTCGAGACAAGCTTTTCGACAGCAAAACATCTGTCGACCATAAAATCTTACATAGTGTAAACAAGAAAGGTGAATTTGTTCTAAAGTTCTGTTTCTGGGAATATGACAAGAACCATAAAACATTAAGCAGAGCAGTCTTAAAATTTGTCAATGACAGACTTGTTGACAGAGATGACGCCTCTTGAGAGATGAAGTCCAACAAAACTTCTTAGAATGCAAAGAAGACACATGCGCTGTTCTTGAAGATGAAATAGAAAACAGAATAGATGAGCTATTAAAGGACAAAGAACTTTTACATAAATATGGTTGCGCCAAATTTGACATAATCCACCAGAGAAGAAGAAGAAGAGAAGAAAGAAAGAAAAGAAAGTAGAAGAGAGAAGAAAGAACCTGAACCAGTTCCAGAGAAGGGGAGATATGACATGTAAAAATAAAATTTTATTTTTAGAACATTTCTGGGTCAATGTCAATGTTCTCTTCCTCTTTAGGAGCAAACACTGGCTTAGACTCTAAAATCTTTTTACCCAATTTACCTTGAACTTCAACTATCTTAGACTCATAATATTCATAGTCGTCTGCTTTCTTTGGTTCATAAGGTATAACAAGTTTGTATGCTTTGCCTTCTTTAAGGTTTGAAAACCTTCTGTCAAAACTTTCTTTGACTGTTAACAAACCTTCTATGTCTAAGTCTTCAAATTTCGCACCATTTTTAGTCACAATCGCAAACTTAACTGGTTCGATGTTCCAAACTTTGCTGAATGAAGACTTTTCAAAAGGTAGAAGTAAACATTCAAATATGTGAATGGGTTCTAGTTCTTCTTTAAGTCCTGACATGTACTTATTTACTGAGATGAATTTTGCCATCTTTTCTATCGGATAAAAAAATATTTTTTTTTTAAATTTACTCATAAAAATTTTTTCTTTGTATATACACCATTCTGTACGTCTAAAAGACTTTTGACATTTGCCAAGAATGTTCGTTTAGACGCTGTCATATAACCATATTCTTGACAATATTGTTTTATACGAATCGTACAATGACCTTTCATCTAATGACACAAAGTCAGTTTCATCTATGAACATTCATATACACTCTTGTTTGCTTCTAACAATGTTTGTCTCTCTTCGGTATGTGGAATTTGTCTTGGATTGAACTTAGAAATATCTAATGTCATAAAATATGAGAACAAGTGGTTGTAAAAGTCAGATGTCAAAGTTTCTGCTAAGTCGTCAAAATATTCTGTATCTTGCATATGAGAATTGACGTTCTGACAACTACATATCTTCTGTCAGAACTTTCTAACTTCATCGGAACAGTATTGTTTGAAACCATAATGAAGTTTGCAACATTCTCACAAACTCTTGAGTCTTTATACTTTCTTTCAACAACGCCAACTTTGTCTGTTATAAGACTCTTCAAAGCATCTGAGTTCAAAACTTTTGTTGTATCTATACTTTGAAGTTCATTGCAAACTATAAGTTTCATATTCTCTATTGAGGAGTTAAATTTACCGCAGATGTTTTCTATGTTTGTCATATTCGGGTTCGAATAGCCCTCTAACAGTTTGCATAAGATATCTGTAAAGAATGTGTTCTTACCTGTTCCTTGTTTTCCAATTATAATGAGAGCAGTTTCATTTTTAGCACTTGGATGTTGTAAGATGTTTGCAAACCAACATAAGATATACTCATAGACTCTTTCGTTTCCATTGCATATAATTTCTTTGACATGGTCTAACCAAGCTTCTATAATATTTTCTTTCCATTCTACTTGTTCATATTTATATCCAGTGAAGATAGAATAGAAGTTTGGAGAAGGTGTATAGAACTTTATACCTCGAACTGAAAAATCTTCTAACTTTGACAATAAGATATCCCAAGCATCTAACATCTTCATGCCAACTTGTACGACTTTTATTTTCTTAAGTTTCTGTCTACATTCTTGTTCTGAAACTATTGTTGCTCTTGGTTTGTTAAAGACTTACATCCCATTCTTTCATAACATAACATTCTGGGGCAGAGTCGACATAAATGACTAAACGTTTCAAATTCTCGACTGCTTTGTTATAGTCTCGAAATGGACACATATTTCTGAATGCTTGGAAGTCATAAAAATCTGAAACATCTATTCTGTACATTTTTATAAAAATAAAAAAAAATATTTTTTTTATTCTTGACTTTGTTGTTGCATTGTTCCATTTGTTGCATTTGTTGTTCTTGAGCTATTTGTTGTTGAAGTTGTTCTTGTAATACAATACTTTCACCAGTTGCATCTTCCAATTCGAAACTTTCTGCCGTCATGACAAATACATAGGACATAAAAGTTTTACAGGAACAAAGTTTGCGTCAACTAATGTCAACGTTATACTTGCCAAAGTGTTTGAGTTCACTAAGGTTGAAAATTCTGCATTCGGAATGAACAATAGGCAAACCAGCAGAGGAAAGTATTGTTTATACCATAAGTATCTTTTGGTCAAATAGTTTCTGTCGACATTCGAATAACACTTTGAAACCTAAGTTTGAAACAATATATAAGATTGGTGTGCTTAATGTCAATGGAATAGAACATTCCTTGTATGACACCTTTTCCTGTTATAGGAAACTGTTGGTAGTAAAAAACCAGAAATAAGTTTTGTATTATAGCTCATATCGTTTATAGTAAACTCAGTCGGACATCCAAACATAATGAAACCTGCTCTAGTTGCAGCACATGTTACACCCGTACTTAAAGTATTAAATAAGTCAACAAAACCTGTTGGTGGTATATCTGAGTAAGTATCTTCAAAGGAGTATTTTTTACCATTCACAACAATAAAGTCTTCTGGTGTCAAAAGAGCAAAAACAGGCTTTAGTCGTCATTGTGTTTAAGGTTTAGTTTACAATATCGTCCTGAGGACTTTGTAAGTTTGTTGTTATAGAATTATATGACTCGGGGTTTTAGTCGTAATAGTATAAACCATTATATCTTCTGCCATTTATATATATTTAAAAGTT